ATAGCACGCTTCAAGCACTTTCTTTTTTTTTACATCAAGGAGGGTTGTGAAAGCTACCCAGGAGGAGGTGACATAGGGGAAAGAAGATGCATCTGTTCGTCAGCACATGTCGTGAATATGACCACTCTTTCTACTCGTGTTTTCTTTCACACGAGCTTACTTCCGCTCTGATCGTGAGCACACGCACAGATACAAGATGGCATCTTGTGGCGGGCTGCGGTAACTTTGGAGCTGACGATGATCGAACCAGACAATGGCTGGGGACTTCGTGTTTATGACGTGGTCATTTGTGTTTATGGCATCATTTGTCAAGAGAATACAACTATTTCACTAACTTTTGAGAATTGATTGTAACTTTCAGGCCGCATGCTACACTATACTGTTTGGATCGCATGTTCTCAGGAGCCTCGACTACCGATGAGCGGCGTCTCATGACCATGTTGAAAAAAGTGCAGCAGGGCCCCTATAAAACAAGCTTTATTATATATTGTCTACAGTATGATGCAAAAATGTTTCAGTTGAGTCTGCCTCCCACTGTTGCAAGCCAGTCATATTCTAATTTGTTCAGCAAACACATGTTTGAAATCTAGGATTTATGTGACAGATGTGGGCTCTGTGGCTGTGCCATCGCACGGTCCACTAACCCTTTCGTCTTCACAATGCAGGCGCTCACCCCTATCATCGCCCAGTTGCTGGTTCCTGCTCTGCTGGCTGCCTCATCGGATGTTCCAACGTGCCGAGAGCGACTCGGCACCGGGTATGACACCGTCCTTCTTATGCGTGCCGCAAACGCATCCGGCTGTCCTGCTGCGCCGCCAGCAAATCACGGGACCACCGACGTCATCATCGTATCACCGCCGTCATCAACCAGTTCAACGACAACAGCTATAAATTGTCAGCAACCACCCGTCAAGCTTTGTGGGCTCTGTGGCTGTGCCATCGCACGGTCCACTAACCCTTTCGTCTTCGCAATGCAGGTTAGTGTACCGTATGACCTGTTCACTAAAAGAAATAGCAATTATTTTTTGGTACAGCTACCGAGCCCACATTGCTGTTGTGTCCTTGCTATTCAATGCGTGAATGTCGCTCGTGCTCTCTTACTTCTGTCGGGGGACGTGGAATCCAATCCTGGCCCAAACTCTCTCCCTAAGGACGGTTCACCTAAAGACCCCCTCCCAGCAAGCCTTATTCTTTCCGAGTTGCAAAAGTTATCTACGGGTCAGTCTACACTGCTCGAGGAAGTGCTGGGACTTAAATCTGCGCTACTAACAACAAACAAAGCCATGGCTGATCGAACTAAACGTATTACGGAGCTTGAAGTTCACTACCAAGGTCTTGTGACAGTTAAGAAGGATGTCGAAACAATTAATGGTAACACCGCAATAATGGCCCGTCAAATCTGCGACATAGAGGCGCGGGTTGACGACGCCGAAAATCGTTCCAGAAGAAATAACCTCATCTCTTACGGCCTCCCTGATCCGAACCCGTACGAAAAATTCTCAGACTCCGAAGAAATACTTATTAACCACTGTCGTGACCACCTAAACTTAACTCTTGACCCTAAACTTATTGAACGTGCTCACCGCCTTGGTCGGCACCGGCATGATCACATGCGGCCTATAATAGCCAAATTCACTTTTTTTAAAACCAAAGAGGAAATTCTCTCGAATGGACGCAAACACTAAAAGGTACTAATTACAGTATTGGGGAAGATTTCTTCGAATCCGTTCGAAAAGCCCGAAAGCATCTTGTTGAATTTGCCCGTACGAAATCTGAGCCCTTCTCCGTGCGGTACACGACTTTGTTCCTTGGTAAAAAAAGATACGTTTTCAACGAAAATTATCAAATTGTAAACGAAATTTCCTAGCAATCGCCCCCCCCCCCCCAAAAAACGTCTTAATGTTACAACACCTAAAACAAGCCTTTCTTCTCTGTAATCTTCACTAATATACGTAGCTTCCTTTAAAAACGCAACGCAGTATCAAACCTTGTATCAACATTGGACAGCAACATACTGGTTCTCACAGAAACATGGTTGAAGGATGAAGTTACAGATAGTGAGGTTCTTGCCGAATTGCCAGAGTTTGTTGTTTTCCGGAAAGACAGGAAACAAACACGTGGTGGTGGCGTACTTATCGCTGTCAATAAGCAGTTATCCTGTTCACTGACAAATGTCCCCTGCAAGCTGGAAATTCTGTGGTTAGTCTGCCGCGCTGTACCGGAGACAATTCTGCTAGGTGTGTGCTATCGGCCACCAGACAATGACCCAAATTTCGCACAAGATTTAAACGATATACTCAACCAGCTAACTACTAAATATCCTACCGCGCATATCCTACTTTTTGGTGACTTTAATTTTCCTGACATCGATTGGCAAGACGCCAACCAATTAATAAGAGGCCACTCCAGAACAAAAGAATGCATTAACGTCTGCTTAAATTTTAACCTAACACAGCTAATAACAGAACCTACACGTATTGCTGGTGAAACTTCCAATATTCTGGATCTAATACTGACAACTAATCCCGAAAGCTTGTCACATATTACACTTCTTCCTGAGATTAGCGACCACAAAGTTATTTATGTTGTTTTTGAATTCGTCCCTAAACTACGCAAACCATGCAGTAAAACTATACGTCTGTACGACAAGGGGGATTACAACGCAATAATCGCTGAACTCGAAGCGTTCCTACCTCATTTTGAAACAACATTAAGTGAACGATCATGAACGATAACTGGTTAATTTTCAAAGATAAAATTAAGGAGCTAACAAACAAGTTTATTCCCAGTACCACCTTCCGTTCTAATCAACAAAATCCATGGTTTTCTAAACTTTTAAAGGGACTTGAAAATAAGAAAAATTGATTTTTTCATGCAGCTAAACACGCAGCTACCGCCAGCGCATGGGATAGATATAAAGAAGCTGAAACCTTTTATTATAATGCCATTCGAACCGCAAAAAGAACATTTTTTCATACTGATCTTCCGAAGATCTTGGTAAATAACCCTAGGAAATTTTGGAAGGTAATTAACCCTAAAAGAATTCCAGGTATTATTTTGAATAATCCTTCGGGCGGAGAAGTTAGTGATTCTGAATGCGCAGAAGTATATAACTCAGCATTTGCTTCCGTGTTCACAAACGAAACTAACAGTCCCCTTCCGATTTTTCCGTCTAGCATCGTCTCTGTAATGCCCAGTATTGATTTTGTCGCTTCCGGAATAATATCGTTAATAGACAAACTCAATTTCTCTTCTTCAGCGGGATCAGACGATATCACCTCAAAATTTCTGGAAAATACCAAGCACATGTCTGCCATATACTTATCCCTATTGTTCTGTCAGTCATTATCCACAGGTAACCTACCAATAAACTGGAAAATAGGAAAGGTCATTCCAGTCTTCAAATCAGGCGATAGATAGATCATGTCCTCTCAATTATCGCCCCATTTCCTTCACAAGCGTGCCTTGCAAGCTCATGGAGTACGTCATTTACACCGAAATCATGCACTTCTTGGACTCTAATAACTTCTTTCATTCCACAAAGCATGCATTTCGAAAAAATTTTTCCTGTGAAACCCAACTTGCCTTTTTCGTTCATGATCTGCACACTAACCTGGACAATAACATACAGACTGACGCTATCTTTCTTGACTTTGCAAAGGCATTCGACAAAGTACCCCACAACTGCCTGATGTTAAAACTTTCGAAATTAAACTTAGACCCTAAAATTTTAGCTTGGATTCGAGAATTTTTTACTTATCGTTACCAATTCGTTACCGTTAATGGACATAACTCTTACCCTCTGGCAGTAACATCAGGCGTCCCACAAGGATCTGTTCTTGGACCCTTATTATTCCTAATATACATTAACGATCTACCTTTTCATGTATCCAGCAATATTCGTATGTTTGCAGACGATTGCGTTATATACCGTACTATTATTAACACATCAGCCCAAGTTGCATTACAAGATGACATTAACCGTGCTTAACTGGTGCAATCGTTGGCTAATGACACTAAACCCTAATAAATGCAAGTCCCTCTCGTTTAACCGTCGGCGCAGCCCCCTCACCTATTCTTATCAAATCGGTAAAGTTGCATTGAAAAATGTCATCACATACAAGTACTTGGGAGTCACTTTGAGTAACGATTTATCATGGCGCGTCCACATTACCAATATCATATCATCAGCTAACAGATCGCTTGGGTTCTTAAAGCGGCACTTACGTCATGCTCCCTCTCCTGTAAAACTACAAGCTTATAAATCTTTAATTCACACCCAACTTTAATACACGTCGCCTATCTGGAGCCCTCATCAAGCATACTTAACTGACGCACTAGAATCCCTCCAGAATAGAGCAGCTAGATTAATTCATTCCTCGTATTCGTATAACGTGAGTGTTTTATCTCTCAAACAAAAACCCAATCTTTCAAACCTTAACATTCGTCGCCGAGTTACCAGCCTCATTTTGTTCCACAAGCTCTATCACAGTCAACTCGGCCACCCGCCCTATATCTTGGCTTCTGCCCGCACATCTCACCGCAACACTCATTCCTCTCATGTCGGCCGGCCACGCGCCCGTACCACGACATTTTCCGCCTCCTTTTTTCGTGCAGCTTCCAACTGGAATGGCCTTTCCACTGATCTCGCCACTATAATGTGCCACTCAACATTTACACAAAATGTCACTCGTTTCTTTTCTATTTGAATACATTACATTGTTCCTTTCTGTGCCACTGGTTCTCACTTTGTCTTCTTTTTTTTTTTTTTGGCAAGGTGTTACGCCTGTTAATATGTATACTGATCCTGCACATGTATTACTTTATTTCTGCATTGGTTACTCCTGTTCATACTAGTACCCATCCTGCATATGTATTACATTTGTTGTATATTTCCCACCCCTTATGTAATACTCCCTCTAGGGGGTCTTTAAGGTAATAAAGTGAAGTGAAGTGAAGATGCTATGAAGCGAGTAACTATACCAGCTAAAGTGGCTTACCAGCACATTAGTGATGTAGTTCGTTGAGCTTCCATTGGCATAAGCTGTCTGAACGATGACCATATTCAAGGAAAGCATGGCTGCATCAAGCAGCTCTTTCAGGTAGCTGGCCACCTGGAGAAAAGCACAGTTATTTTAGGTCTTTACACTGACAGCTAAAGGAGTGCAGAATAATATGCCATACCAAAGTGGCAATCTTGTCGCCATCGAGAAGATGGAAGACGAGGTTTTCATCATGGTAAAAATAAATGACTCGGTCAGCATCACCATCAAATGAAACACACCTCACTCCAACGTCAAGAGGAATTCCTAGATCACATGAAAAAAAAAGAAAGACAAATTCAATTAACTCAAGCAAGGGTCATGCACCCTGTCACTCACCTTCTGGAGCTTTCTGATAGATTTTCACAAAATCTGCACCACACTATGAAAGAAAGTAAAGACATCAGTAGCACTATTGGATTGCTCATCAAATATATACAGCGGAACCTCAGTAAATGAACATATGCTCCTAAATTGCAGCTGAAGTTGCTGCTGAAACAGAACTTTCTTTGATTGATTTTATACTTGACTGCTTCATCCCTCTACATATTTCTCTTGTTAAATTGAACATGTTTTCCGGGTGCCTCCAAGTTTCATTTAACGAGATTCTGCTGAATCATGATAAAGAAAGGGCAATGTACCATATGGTTTAACCGGCCTTCCGAGCCATCATTGTATGTTTCTATCTTCAGAAGACCTCCCAAGTAAGGCAGCAGCGTTTTCATCTTCATAGCTCCTACTCCATTGGCACCGTCAAGACGAATGAAGGGAACATAGTTGCGTACAGCTGAGCCCTGAGATAACAAAACTGCCATGAAATAACATGAATAATGCAGCACATCAACAATGCAACTTCGCATAGAAAAATAATGCATACTATATTATTGATACAATATCTGTAAGATTGGCAACTTATAACACCCGACAAAATCTGATAAAAGATGGTCTGAAGTCCTTTACTCACTACAAAAGTATTTGTTAGTAAGTATGATCTACCTGTGGATAAGTAGAACAAACAGGTGGCTTACTACTGTCTAACCAAGGCCCAAAGTTACTTACACTACTGAAAAAGCCATGCAATGAATCTGAATAATCTTCTTAAGGGATCCACAGACACATCCATTCATGAATGCAAGATCTTTGTTCATGCCTTACTGCTTGTCATTTGCCAATGAATGACCATGAGTGGATTCAGCATACAATGCGCTTACTTGAAATGTGTAAAAAAAAGAGGTAGGAGGTGTTTTGGGGCCTTGGAATTTTCACTAAGATACATAATTAACACAACATAATAAAGCATAATATACAAATCCTCTTTATTTTTCATCCTCTCCATTCAAAAAAATTTACATTGAAAATTGCCATGCCTAGCTATGCTACCCTTACTTACAGCAGCATTGCAATGAGACATACAATGAACAAATAGTCTGTAAATTTACAATACAATTCTAATGTAAGCTCCAACAAGACATACAGCAATAAAAACGATATATCAGAATAATAGATAAGATATACCTTGCAATGTAAACAAGAGCAAAGAAGAACTTGATGTGATAAACCAAGAACAAAACACAGCTGGTTCATCTCAGTGGAATGCAATTGTTTGCACAATCAAATGTGAGAATAAAAATTGTACACTACACCAACAAAAGCCATGTCGCAAGGTATTACTTTTGTTGAATACACATTCACATTTAACAAGTTGAAAGTACAAAATTAATTTAAAGATGACAGAGGAGTACCTTATCTACATAAAAATCAAACATGCACCAGAGTTTTAAGCAACAAAAACATTCTGGCAACACAATAAAGATGAAGCCAGAAATTTAAAGATGACAGAGGAGTACCTTATCTACATAAAAATCAAACATGCACCAGAGTTTTAAGCAACAAAAACATTCTGGCAACACAATAAAGATGAAGCCAGAACTTAACTTTTGCAGGGTTGTCACTCTTAGGCTGCACTTTGTTGCTATAAAAAACTACATTATCTTCTGTATGGCCAACTGCCATTGCATTTATTCCATTCAAGCAGCAGTTCTGTTTAACAGATTTCTGTTTCTACTGAGAGTCTTCTGTATTAGGGCTTGTGAGTCCACTGTGAATATTGCTACAATCTTTATGATGCACGTAGATGCACGCCCCTGTTCATCTAATTGCTCTACATAGTGCAGAATAACTTTGTCCGGCACTAACTCAACCAGAAAATAGTAGCCAATTCCATACTTCCCATTTTGAAGCTCCATCAATAGCTCAACATGAAGACATACGTGCGATGTTTAAATCAGACCAACCTGCAGTGACTACTATCGAGGTACAGCAAAGTAAGTGTGCCAACATGTACTCCTACACGTGTATGTGAGGTCTTGGCTTTATGTTACGTGATCCAACTTACATGCAAGTATTTAAAAACATATAAATATTGAATACTGAATAAAATAATTAAATCTCTATATAATAAATATTTTAAAATCATTGCTTTACTCCATTATATTGTCACGGAGTCGTGACGCGAACGAAGGAAGCAGACTGCAGGTCGAGTAATAAACTGTTTAATCAGGCCAAACTTGCGGCCACGTAAAAATAAATTCAGATTACAGCAAGAAACTGGCACTGATAGCAGCGAGCAGGGCGTCTGTCGTCAATCAACTGACAAGCGGCGAAGCGTGTCGGCATTCATACACTTGCCATCAAACATTCTAGCGTTATCACTAGCGGCGAGGTAGGCTCCAGAATAACCTGAAGGGTTCACGAAGTGAACGCAATCTTAACAAGATGATCTACTACAGCCTCGAAGCATCTATAATACCGTAGACGCGGTATGCACTAAACGCAGTGCAATGGAGCAATAACAAAACTTGAAAAGAACGAGGCATTATGCATACTTTATGCAAAATATAATTGCTGATGGTTTTCTTGTTTATTTAATGTGGAAGGCACAGCAAGAACTATCCGTGTAATCGTGCAGCAAAGAAAATGCCAATAAATGAAGGAGAGCAGTGAATCTGAGAGCTGATGACTGGATTTACGAGTTCAGGGACCCAACTAATAAATGTGGGGGAAAAAAATTGACCATGGTGAAAAAATTTAGTTCAGGTGTGCAAACATTATTTTAGTAAACAATAGAGTCAGTTACTATGCTACTTACAAATCTTTTTTGACAGATCAGAATTTTACCAGTCCATGAGATTTATTGGGATTAGTGTGATTCAAGACCTCCTCCTCTTCTTCAACAACAACAACAACAACAACAAAAAGGGTGCAAAGAAGAAAATATAATATAAATCAAGCTCTAATATATTGATGGTAACTTTCATAGCTTAAGTGTTATGAGGTGAAACTCGGCACGCTTCCTGACATGATTAAAAAAAGAATGAATTTCATTTAGTAAAACCACTGGCATGTGCACACTTACCTCAACAGATCAGAAGCTATACAATACAGTAATTCAAAGTGCTGTACAGAAACAGTCACATCCATGGTTATAAAACATTAATTGATTGATATGTGGGGTTTAACGTCCCAAAACCACTATATGATTATGAGAGACGCCGTAGTGGAGGGCTCCGGAAATTTAGACCACCTGGGGTTCTTTAACGTGCACCCAAATCTGAGCACACGGGCCTACAACATTTCCGCCTCCATCGGAAATGCAGCCGCCGCAGCCGGGATGGTTATAAAACATTAGTGCTAGACTAGAAAGATATAAATAACATTTGGTAACTATAGCAGAAACACTTGGTAATATCGGTTCAGATAAATATTTGACCACTACAGTGTAACTAGGAAATCTTAACTTCAGGAATCGAGGGAAAGAAAACAAGAAAACCATCTGTAAGGCTTTTGCTGTTTAACCATTTAAAGCCTGAATTATGAAAGTGCCGAACAAAATAAAAAGTTTCCATTTTCCCGCTTTAAATAGCAACCTTTAAATGATTCCACAGTGAAATTTTCCAAAATTTAACTTCAATGCGTGCTTTTAAGTATTTAACGAATTCTCTATATGCCAAAAAAGCAAAGACCTTACAACAGAAAACGCACTTCAGAACTATGTAACATGTCGTGTGCCACCTCTTAGGTGCATACACACCAAATAAACAAAATTATTGAAGATGGAACTGACGCCACCCGGGCGAGAAAAAACAAAGTGAGAGCTGTACCATGCCCTTTGCGCTCTCCCCCATCAGCTACAAAACAATTGGTTCTAGTATAAAATACCTTCAATGAGTCAGCGCTAGATTTTTTTATGCTGAAAGCTACATTCCCCGTGAACACTTGACAGCAGGCATTAAAGGCAGCAAGCTTCTCGCGAGTTGCTTGCTCGAAGTTTTTTGGTATGTCGCGAATGAATGACACTCGGCAGTAAAAGATTAATTACTCTACATTGTATTAACCAATACAGTGCACAAATGCCCTGCTAATAATAATGTTTCAAACTTACATTGGCTCTAATCTGCATAAAGGCCTTTGTTAGCTTCTTAAAGTAACCTTCTTCTGTGGGCTCTCCATAGCTTGGGTCATTGCTGCAGCGTACAATGTAGTGAAGCTGGGGTGTGGTCAGATGGCCTGTAAGGCAGAAACAAGTATTAAACTTGGTGTTATAAAAGCAGTCCATAAAGGAAATGCAACATGAAAACACATTACATATGTTTGCGTGAACCAGCATTTTTCCCGATACCATTTATTGATACAAGTGATGCAAATGAAGAAAAAAATAAAAATACACGCATTAAGCAAAAGAGGCTGCACAACAAATAGAGTAAAAGCTTGTTAGTTTAAACTTACAGTAAATTCGAACAGACACACTGGTCCCGGCACCACCCTGTGTATTTCTACGGGGCAAAACACCCAATAATAATTCGAACGCGTCAGGGTCCACAATGGTTAATTCAAGATGGGAGCCTCTGGTCTTTATCGATCCTCGTGAAAGTCGGCTCCGAGGGATCACAATTGTTGCAAAACCAAACAAAATTTATTAGTGTTACATGCAAAACAATGATTCAGGAGACGGGAGGGGAAAGACTGGCAAAGAAACGACCGTTACTTCAACAAAACGATATTTATTTAGGGTAAAGTAAAGAAAACTGCTGGAGAGACAAGAATACGGCGTCTCTCCAGTTGCACAGCCGTCCCTCTTCTGCCTGCTCTCGGCAGTAATGCACAGTCACACACCCGCGCTCACCACAGGGGGTAAACTTTCATGTCACAGTACAGCTCCGGCTTCTGGCCCGCTCAGCTCGCGCAGTGGTCGTTGCCTGGCGCCATCTTTCGAGTTTCATTTCCTGCAACAAGGGCGCGCACACTCGGCCGTCCTGCAATTACCGACCGTCCCGGTTAGAGTCTTTAGTCTGAACTATCCGAGTCTATCTCGTCCTGGCCCTACAGCTTAAGATTGTCCAGTGGAGTGATGTTGCTGCATGCATTCCTCTCGCGCCATATGCTGAGCAGCCTGTCGATGCGATATCGGCTACTGGTTAGTTTTGCCGTTATGCTATACGGTCCTATATATTTTTCCCTGATTCGCCAAATCTGTAGGCTCTCGCCCAACCAATATGATGTCCTCGGTTCGTAAGTCGAACGTTTATTTTTGTATTTTGTTTCATTCAATATTCGCGAATGCTTGCAATCCGCAAAGGAAACCCGACATGGGTGAAACTTTATGGGTTCTCCAGTTGTCATTTTAATTTTCCTCTCCGCTGCATTGGTACGGCCAATCTCTAAGACGGTGTCAGCAAAACAGTCGCGATACTTTTCGATAAGTCGGTCGAGTTTCTCATGGTACTCCGGGGTGACACTTGGGCCCATTTTGATGTTCGCGGTTGTCGTTGAGCATTGTTGCGTGGCACTGCAGCTTGATTTCACGTCCTGCATCGCCCCATCATTGAGATAGCAGACTTCCGACCCCGCAGTCCGCTCAATGTCTTGGATATTCAGTTTCAGGCCCGAAACGTTCATTGCAGGAATGCAGGTCCCGTTTCCCGCACTTGCGTTTACGACACAACAGGGTAAGCAATAGTTGCGCCTCTCTTGGCACCTGGGTTGGTCGTCCACGAAAACATCGGCGTTAGGTTCACTGCCTATAACGTAGGGCTTGACAAATCCAACTTAGTTTGGCAAAACAACTGTCAACTCTTTGGATTTTCCGAGGCAGGCCAGGTGCCTCGAAAGATCTGGAATATTGATGGACTGGAGTGTGTCATCACTTTCGTTCAGTATCTTCTTCTCTTCAAATATACGCACGGTGTTCCATCGCCTTATGATCGTAACGTGAGGTTGCTCGGTGAAGGGCTGCCCCAGGATGATAGGAATTGCCTGCGACTCATTTGACACAATCAGCAGGGGGATGTTGGCTCTTTTTTGGTCGACTGTGAGGTTAACGTTTGCCTCACCACACGGCGTCACAGGTCCTGACCCATAGCCCCCGATGGTCAGCCGCTTCTCCATCACCCTGCATTTGACCAGACCCGATCAGCATCTTCACGCCGAATAGTGACACACTGACTGCCGAGGTCGACGTACACTCTAACTTCATTCCCGTTAATTTTAGCCAGCAGGAAATACTTTTCTTTCGCTGCATCCGCTGCACGGATGTTCAGATCCACAACGCTTTGAAAGAGGTGCGGCCCGCTCTTCCTTTCCCTGCAGTTCTGGGCTTCGTGCCCACTTTGGTTGCAAAAGTTGCACCTCGCACCCGCTGCGGACTCGGGCAGTTGAGAGAGAGGTGACCGTACTTGTTAGAGTTGAAACATCGCTGCTCTCCTTTCTAAGGAGAGGGGGTTTTGGTCCTCGGTTCGGAGAGATCGGTCTCCCACCTCGGTTTGGGATTTTGTTTACTCTCATTTAAGGCCGTTTTCGTGGCTCGGTTTTCCTTGTTGCCGTGGCTCACAAGATTTTGGAAGCCGCTTGCTTTCGAATATTTTGAGTCCTGGGAGTCAAGGATTCCAACATGCTCTTCGAGACACTTGAGGCAATGCAGAAGCTCCACTGTAGAGTTGTACGTGCAGGTGCTGATGGCTCGGATAATATCCTGATTGTTTAGGCCGGTGATCAAATATTCAATGCAAGCTTCCTCGCTGAAGTTACAACGACATGTTTCCGCTAATTTGCCATAGTCCTAGCACTCGATAGGCCCACCTCGCTTGTAAATTCAGTCCTCCATTTCCCGGTGAAGCCTCTGCATTCCTGCTGTCGTGGAGAAAGCACGTCTGAGCTCCACCTTCTACTCGGGCCAGGTTTTGTTAACAGACAGGAGGGAGTCGTACCACATCTTCGTCGGTTCATACAACTTTGAGAGAGCATGGCAAAATGTTACTCTGTCTGTCCAACGGTAAACTTCCGCTAGGTCGTTCACACGTTGAATCCATGCGTCGATGGTTGGCTAGTTCGACAATCTTGGATCGAACAAAGGGACCAGGTGCGATGTCTCCTCTGCGCTGATTACAGGCATGGCTGCTGTCTGTTGCGACTGGAGATGCGCGATCCCGTTGATGGCTTCCCTCACTGCTGCTTGTACGGTGGCTTGAAGGACTGCCGCTATGTCGAACGCTGGTCCGGGTGCTGTAGTGATCCCGCTGGTAGACGCACTGTCGGGCACCACTCGACTGGCGCTGCCTTCCCCGCTGTCAATGCTCCGCCATCTTCTTCGCTTGTCGTAGCCATTGAAGATGTTCCGTTGTGAGTGACAGGCATGGTTGGGCACGATGGATGACTTTGGGCGTGCGAAATCCCGCTTCTGAATTGTTAGATGCAAAGCGATGATGATTCGGGAGACTGGAGGGAAAATACTGGCAAAAATAACGGTTACTTTAACAAAACGACGTTTATTTAGGGTAAAGTAAACTGCTGGAGAGACGAGAATACGGCATCTCTACAGTTGCACAGCCGTCCCCCGCCTGCCTGCTCTCGGCACCAACGCACAGTCGCACACCCGCGCTCACCACAAGGGGGTTCACTTTGGTGTCACATTACAGCTCCGGCCTCCGGCCGGTTCAGCTCGCGCAGTGGTCGCTGCCTGGCGCCATCTTTCGAGTTGCGTTTCGTGCAACAAAGGCGCGCACACTCGAAATGCAAAATAATAAAACAGCAGCACTTCTCAGCAGATGAGCATTTGGACGCTGTGCTGGAGCTCTTCGATAAGCTACGAACAATGCTCATGGAGTCACGACAGAAGTAACGCAAGCAAATTCAAATCCATGATCACTTTTCATTTTGATTGCATTTTTTTATTCTGGTTTCAGGTGTGGAGTGACCAACCAGTGGGCCACTGAATACCGTATTTATTCGAATCTAATCTGATAGTTTTTTTTTTTTCAAATGTCTTTGCATCAAACTCCAGGGTCGGTTTAGATTCAATATTTAAAAAAAAAAACGTGCCATTTTTCATCGAGAAAGGTGGCGCACAACCAGCTCCATCGAGACGGTATTATAGCAGTTAGTAGCCAAGCTGACACCTACAAGAGGCCGCCATTTTTATCTTTATGGCGAGTGTTGAGGCGAGCCATTCGTCATTTTGAGTCGCACTTCGAGTGGTCTGCGCGTGGTGCAGCTGAATGGCGCCAAATAGGCCGTGTCATTATAGTGCCGCTTATAAAAGGAAAATTGTCCTAGCCATGGAGTCTTCGTTCAAGGTTGAAGCCGGGCGGCACTTCGGAGTGGACGAAAAAAATTCGCATCGCTAGAGGGGCTGCAGCGTGGGACGACATCCCAGAAACTTTGATTATGCGCTCTTTTAAGAAGTGCAGCGTATCCAATGCCGCTTGATGGCCCCGAGAATTGCGCACTGTTTGAAGACAGCGACAAAGAAGTCAGCGACGACGACTCAGAATGAGTGCGACATCAGCAAGCACGGTAGCATTATGATGCAAATACTAGAAGCAGCGTGAAAAGAATGACCAAGAACCACACACAACAGGACTAGCGGCTGTATGTTCCTCGAGTTATTTATTTGCATCATGAACCAACTGCTTTGTTTCATCTTCATGTTCAATGAATGTTTTCTCTTCGTGAACGCTGTCTTTGCTGTTTTGTTTGGCCTACGCTCGAGACAAGATTTTTTTTTCTGGACTTTGGACTTATGGGGGTCGGCTTAGATTCGAGTAAATACGGTACTATATCACCCAAGTGCGTCCTGACACACCGGTGGGACACGTGGCTATGTCTCTTTCTTTTGCACAAACGAGGTGGCACTGCCAGCATTGCAATGGGTATTAGGTGCATTTATTTAAAAATTCAAAGGTGTTTCCAGCCTCCTTCCCGTAAATCTATGTTTAAATACAAAGTGCTTCTCTACAAGAAAACATGTGAAGTTAGTTACCGGGATAGAAATATTTAATAGGTAGATGAAAGTTAAAATTTAGTCAGAATATTAACCAACAATATGGCGGTGACCTTGCAACGAGCGTTTGGCACGTTTATTTGAAGATACAAAGCTGTTTTTCGCTTTTGTTGCATGCATCTATATTTAAATACCAAGGGCTTGCCCCAAGAAAATACATAAAGTCAGTTTCAGTTATAAGTTGTTTTCTTTGCTAGGCGCTGTGACATCCTTCACATTCATAAAAGGCACGAGCCTCCATTAGGTATGCTGAAAAGTTTGCAAGCAACAAAATGAAGGAACGTGCCAGTACTTTGTTCATGAGAAACAATCGCACCACCTCATGCCCAATACAATAGACAATTTATATTAGTAGCGATTCCGAACTTCAGGTGGTAGCACAAGATGGAGAGCTCTCGTGTGTGTCGGTCACCAGTGAGTGATGCCACACACAGCAGAAAAACATTTTTCTCGAGTGCATCATGGGTCACCGATGGGTCGATAGCCTTAACATCTGAAAAGCATTCTTCTGGATGTGTGTATCCTCATGCAACAAAAATCATACCTCTGTGTTTAAGTGTCATAAATTTATTGCAGCCACAAGCAGATAAATGCACGCAACTTCGTAGCCGCATAGGTGGTGCCCCATCAGTGACTAAGGATGCAGTGAACGTGTTAATTTACGCTCAATGTTAGAGTTCCACGAGCCTAATTTAGGAATTCACTTGTCACAAATTTGCACTAGTACTATAGCCAAAGTCACGATAACGAGTCTAGGGCTGGCTTCTTTCGGTTTTGCCAGCGCAGTGTGGTGTGATGTCCTATCATTCTATAGCACCCACCCGCTAATTCTAACTCCATTGAATTTGAACAATCTTATAGCCCCCTTCGAATTTGACTAATTGGGCAAAGCTGGGGAGCTAAGAAGAAGTTCACTCATCAAAATTATCAAATCTATGCATTTCGTAATTGTAAATGCTCGTACAAGCCAAGCACAATCCTGCATGCTAGGTGCTATGATGGGCTGCAAGTGAAGAACCAGGAAACAAGAACAATTGAATGCTAAGCGATTTAGAACGTATTAAAGCCCTGTAAACTGAGTTTATTTCTAATGTACAAGACATTTTCAATTATCACTCAGCCAAAATTAAAAATCATGTTCTGGCTGGCAAATACACCAAACTATTTTTTGGTGTAAACACATCTACTGCAAGCCCTGCTACCCACCACAGCAATGCACAATGTATGTGAAATGAGGACCACAAGAGTGGCTATGGAACTGTAAGACTCAAGTCCTGTAGTTGAGACATTGGCTCCAGTGACATCCTTCACTTGACCACTATTAATAACGTTAACATGGCCTATGAAAGGCTTAGTCTTACAACCACAGTTTGTTCCCTGACCCACTCTGCTCTCTTCTTGCCTTTTAAGGTTACACATTTCATTTTCCTTTCCATCGCTCGCTGCCTCGTCCTCAATTTAAGCTGAACCCTCTTTGTAAGTTTTGAGGCTAACTCTGTTTAGCATTCAAACACTGCCACTTTAGCAATAGTAGTCTCCTAGCACAGTGATGCCGTGCCCCCAAAGTTTCTAATAATAATAATAATAATAATAATAATAATAATAATAATAATAATATTATTATTATTAACCAGGGAGTTATGTCCCAAAGCCACGACATGATTATGAGGGATGCTGCTGTAGCGGGGGCTCTGGAAATTTCGACTATCTGGTTACAAGGGTCTCTGGCATTTCACCTTAATTGAAATGCAACCACATCAGTAGGTATTGAACCCGCAACCTTCAGGTCAGCAGCCAAGCACTGTCACTGCTGCACCACTATAGCAGCTGTCCCAGAAATCCTGCAACTTTGCTGACATGTCTCAAGGGTCTCCTTTAGATGTCAAGTATCTTTCTGCAAATCAAGTTCAATTTAAAACAATTGCATGAAATATAACATTTGAGGTTGGTTTTTAATTTTTCAAATTTGTGATAGAAATCAATATTAGTAGGCACCATTTTGGCAAGAAGCAACGTAGCGTCCTCCTGCTAAAACTCGAGTTTAAAAATGCTCAGTGGAAATGTTACATCCTCCTGCTATAAACTCGTGTTTAAAAAATGCTCAGTTGCCAGTGTCCATCATACCAGTCATACAGCTCCTAATGTGGCCCAGATAGGGTCATTTTCACCCTAAAACTTCGAATCAGAGCTTGCTATGGATGATCTGGATATTCATGACCCACTTCCCGTGCAATATTCCCCCAGCATTAGCAAATTTAATGCACATGCACATTGTCGAACTCCAGACTTGTGCTGAGCTCTCTAGATTTTTGGCAATGGAGATGTTGGGCTTTGTCTAGTGACTGATGATGATGATACGTGGGGTTTAACGTCCCAGAACCGCCATATGATCATGAGAGACGCCATAGTAGAGGGCTCCGAAAATTTTGACATCCTGGGGTTCTTTAACGTGCACCCAAATCTGAGCACACGGGCCTACAACTAGTCTTGTGACTGTACTTAGTCATCAGTCTCATGACTAATAATGAGCACCAATGTGAAAGATAGGTCATTTGCCAGGCTTCGTTCTTGCCTGTTTTCTGTTTCTTTTATAACTAAACTAAAAGGCCCTCCAATAATAACAACTGTTCTAATCTAGAGTGAACCATACAAAATGGTCGACTTATTCCAAAAAGGACACTTCCTGAGCTCATATTCACAGTAACGCTGAGAGTGCTGCAAGGCCTGTAAATGCTTACCAAACACCTTGACAGCTCCACCAACAGACTTGACACCATCACCGACAGCCTCCGCCAGCCCAGGACTGCTCGCTCGAGTGTCATTAGCTAGGCACACGGAAGAGGGTTCCTGAAGGTTGATGTTTGTTGCTGCCACTATACGGTCCAGCACAGATTCCAACGAGCTATCCCTGGTGATGAAAACGCAATCAGGCTCTTGAAGAGTATTGCTGAATCATTCAGCTCCAGTTAGCATGCACCACTTAAATTTAGAAGACAAAGAAAGTGCACAAAAAAGATCTGACACCATGTTTCGAGACACTGATATACTGTATATAGCATCTAGGGTAATAAAACTACAGTGGTAAAAAATAATTTAAAAGAATTTTCAACAATGTCTATAAAAAATAAAAGTATGTGCAGTAGTTACATTAGCTGCATTAACCGAAACAGGAACACTGTACATACAAGCATTCTAACCTGTTCTCAAGTTCTCGTTACTCAAGAAATCACCTTGTACAACAGTTACGTAGTCCGGGGGTGGCACACCAAGTTTGTGCCCCTGCCCCACCTCACATTTTTTTTTGCCATGGCATACAAAGCAAAAATGACCAATTAAAAAAAAATGCCGCCCTCCCCCCCAAAAAAAAAAAATTTCTGCCAACCTCCCTGCTGCACAGAACTGAATGCCTAATCAAGGACACACATACACTAAGATTTTACCTTTAAAATCTGTGCAAAAACAGCAACATACTTGGAACCACAAATAGCAACAGACAACGCAGCAAATTTTTCAGACTGCAACATTGTTTTCAGCAGCTTTGGTATTGCCAAATTTTCTACGTTGAGGACAATAACCAATGTGGCTGTCGCCTTCTGTCATTACCATTTCCTTTTCTTTCGCCACTATTGGAGAGACATATTTGCTGCGACGATATTTGCGGTCGTCCTAACCTCCTTTTCTACTTTCCTTACGAAGGGTGTCGGTTCGCTTGCAAAACAACTGCGCAGCTACGGCAGTACGGAACAGTGGCTGTTGTCATCTGCATGTGCCTGTTCCACCACCTCTCAACACTTTTGCTGGTTAGTTTATCCATGCGTTCGCGCTCGGAGTCTATGTAAACATACTCGAAGCAAGTGCCCCTGTCACTTTGTTTCACCATCAAAGGCTTCAAGATACAGAGATTTGTCACCACACTCTTTTAAATGTGAAGCATTTCTTTGTGTACAGCAGGCACTTTTAGCGTGATTTATTGATTTGTTGGGTTTAACTTCCCAAAACCACTATATGATTATGAGAGACGGCGTAATGGAGGACTCCGGAAATTTTTACCACCTGGGGTTCTTTAACGTTCACCCAACTCTGATCACACGGGTCTACGACATTTCCGCCTCCATCGTAAATGCAGCCGCCGCAGCTGGGATTTGAACCCGCGACCTGCGGGCCAGCAGCCGAGTACCTTAGCCACTAGACCATTGCGGCAGGGCGTCACTTTTAGCGAGTCCATCTACGTATCTATCAATCTTCCCATTAACTTGGGGCAAACCAAAATTAGCACGGGAGAGTAAAATGGTTTGACAAATATAACTCGCTGGTCATTACATGAATAATGTGACAATTTCGTTGCGTACGTCATCAAATCCTTTCCACTAGACACATGTGGCACATACTCGTACACCATGTGCGGGTAAGTGCCACAGGTGATTGACAGTATATCTACAGACGAACAGTGAGGAATTTTAACCTGAGAGCATAACAAAAAAGCTGATACTTACAATGTTGACCCAAAGAATTCAAAGATTAAAAAGGGTCCCAGCAGGAATCGAACCCAATCATTCTGCATGGCAATAAAGTATTCCACCACAGAGCCACGACAGGTCTCGCAATCGTTTTTCAAATAGACCTTAATGTTCGTGAAAGGTCAATTGTGGTTGCAGTGTTCGCTATCCAATTTTATAAACATTCTATATATACTCCTACCACGCAGCCATCACGTCAGGTTAACACAAAATTGTAGTTAAGCGCCATCGACTGAAGTTGATTAATGTAGCAGTGTTCAGAGCTACCACCCCTGTGAGCACAAAGCACTAATTCTTAGCTTACCGCTTCAGGTGTTGCTAATACTTATGTTGCTGCAGGCATTGTCATGCAACTATAAACAACTGGTTATAGAAAATATACGCAACTGTTCAATTATTGTGTCTGTGCGTACAAAATCTGTGCATATCTTTAGCACCAATTCGTAACGTTTCACTCAATATTAAAAAAAATACAACACAGTCTCTTTCCGTTCGCATGTTTCCTATTACCTTGATTCCTTGGTATGTGGAATCTGCCGAATTTCTCGTGAACAAAATTAATTTTTCATGAAAATTGACACACTTCATTGCAATATCGGTCAAATTTACGAAGCTTTAAAGAATATCATAGATACTTGGCGGGTACAAATTAAATAAAGAGCAAAGCAACATAACAGGAAAAAAATAACTACCAATTAGAAATTAATATGCTGCCAGGCAGCCCTGTAAAAACCCTTCGAATCAATCCTTACGTAGAAAGTGCTTGCACACCAATGCAATGAGCAAACAAAGTTTAGTATTACCCATGCAAATATTTAGAAATTTGCACACTACTACTTTTCATCTCACAACAAACAAGCAGTCCTCTGGGTTAAATTGGCACAGCAATACACCTGAGGTCTTTGATTTGCTTTTAAGGCAGAGTAGGCAATATATGGAGCATATATGTATCCTATGGCACGAACCCAATGCAGTTATGCGATGCCATTGACATACATCTAGCAAAGCTCATTAACTAGTTCTTTGATATTCAAAATAATTTTCTAAATATGTAGGCTGCTGTGCGGTTTCCAGCAACAAAATTGAATAAAAACAAGGAATGCAGGGAGTGTGATAAGCTGAACAGTAGACATGCCAATGACCATGTTTTTTGTCCACTCATAATACTTTACCATTGAACCTTCGTATCCCAGTGCCAATCCATTTGTACAAGTAAATATTTTTTTTTGTGAACGTGTAACATTAATACATACACAAGTGGAAATAAACAAGTGGAAAAAAATTTTGCTTTAGTTCTTGAAAAAAACAATTGCCCACCCATATGGACATCCGGAACAACAGTTACACTAGGTCCATCATCCTTCTTCATAGCACATGAGAACATTGCTTGCCAATGGCTCTGTTTCAACTCATTAATCACTGCAATCACCACCACTCACCATAACCAATGCCTTTATCATCAGTTCAAGACGTTCATCATTAATATCATCATTATGAACAAGAACGTTAACATAGCTGCTAGCGAACTCTCATCATCATCATTCATGATCGCCGTCAATACATAAACCCTCATGTTCGTTCCATCGGCATCACAATCACCATTTAAAGCCAATTTGCTTGCCTATGGCTCTACTTCAATATGTTCGTCACTATCTATATCATTCTTGATCACCATTCACAAAGCATTCAAAATTACATTCACATTGAATGATTTCTTTATTAGCAGTAGCATTGTTCAAACGGCCTTCACTTGTTGATGGTTCTGCTTGAAAGCGCTAATTGTTGATGTTCTCCAAATCAGAACATTCGCTTCTGCTTGTCTGCTAAAAAATTATGGCATGATTGTCTTCATCACTTAATTCACATCTCAAATAAAGGAAAGAAATACTAAACATAACTTCTAAAGGTGTATTTAGTTATACTACAGATAATGTTTTGTGCACAGCTACATGGCAATGACGCGGGTCCTAATACCACGTAGTGTTCTATCAGCTTCTCACATCAATTGGCGCTCACAGTGTTGGAAAACTAATGCAAAAGCAAGATAAACCCTTCCTTTTCTCAAATAAAGCAAGATAATTTAAAACCCTCATGAAATTGAAATGCTGCAGTAATGCCAACATTTCAAATAAATTTTTAAGGAAATGCATTGGCTAGCCTGATTTCACTAAACTGATACGTTTTGTTCACCAATGTGGACTGTGGGAATCCTGGTTTAAAAAGGGTTAATAAGATCTAATTCTAAAGTGTTGAGTAGCATAAATTATTTTTTTTTAATACAGAAAAAATGGGCAGCTTACGGAGCATTGGCCAGCTCTGTTGCCAATATTTCCCAATCCGTTTCCATCATTTCACCCATTGGATCAATAAGCTTGATGCCATTGTCATCTTCAGGATTGTGAGATGCAGTGATCATGACACCAACCACGGCTGAAATTCAGCATGCACAACTAATTAGGTGTACTACAAAGGCAGAGCAATAATTGTTTAGCTACACACTACAGCATGGATTCAAAATTTTACCTGAAAGAGCTGGCTCAATTTCTCTCAAGTCATGACAAACTTAACTAAACTAATAGCCTCTGTTGCATAAAAACCTCGAATAAACCTTGCCCTGCATAAAGGAAAACCAGCCCAAACTAGTCGATTTATAATATCACCACTATCTAAGCATGATTCTGTCCAGCCATCAATTGTGTTTTGAAATGCTTTGCATTTATTCTGTTATTCCAAATCTACTATACATATAGAAAATTTGCATTTACCCAATTTAAATATGGTCCACTTGTTTTTTATCTCCAGCCCAATTTGTTTTATTTTTACTGTAAGCACACCTATCATGTTCTTTTACAAAGATGATGACTAAGCAAGCCTATAAACTAGCGAATGACATTTTCTTTCAGAAACAGATTTCCAAGTCTGAACTGTTTCTGTTATACTTTAAAATTTGGCGTTTCAAAGAATGTGTCAAATAAGGAGAATGCAATATTTGCTCGCTGTCTTCACAATTTCTTTCTTTTTCTAAAAAGGAAGGTATATTAATATGAAAGAAAATGTTTACGTGCAATAATTGACAAAGTGAAATTGATTTTCTATGAGCAAAGCACTTTAAGCCCACATTGCGCCGTTGCCATCCAAGCTCCCTTCTCTTAAGCATTGCTTCAGATTGCAATGGCCAGTGATTAACGAGGGAATGTTTCGGCTGGTTCTAGTGCACTAGAAATTCGAGGTTATAAGAAGTAAGCTCAGTGCACAACTGGTTATAATGGTTGTCTTCATTTTCACCACCTTTATTGTGGACTGTGAAATGACAACCATCATTCCAGCTTACTTCAGGCACTCTGTCGAAGGTAGTAGCTGATGCTCTCCCCACCCAGCGCCGGCGCAAAACAACAGTAAAACACCACACCCAGTGTTCTATAACCACCGTCAAAGCCTTCTGCCGCATCACCGCTCACATCCTTCTCCCACCACTGCTTGGGCCGCGCACTCACTCAGTCATTCCCACCACCGAAAACAGCGGACGCTCTCCCCACCCGCTCGTCACCCAACCGCCTACATGAAAGCCAGCAGCGACATCAGGTGCATAGTTGTTTGATCCCCTTTTCAAGAAGCTTCGCTTATTGATTGTACTCTTACACAGAACTGCTCATTTTTTAACTAGTGAAGTTAGGCCGTTATATCAAATGGAAGAATTTTGAAGTTCTTTATGCGAAGAAACCATCACATTAAAAGATATAAAAAAGTGGCCTCTAGTAATTATTGTGGTGCAATGAAGTATGACAATATTCAACGGCGAAACCGAAACTCAAGCACTGATGAGCACAACAAGCACACAACCAGAATGATGTCACTGTTCAAGATCATTACAATGGTGTAGCTCTTCTGTGTTCTTCAATGTATGAGCACCATCCGTGCTATAAGAGCAAGCGCACCCTTCCCACCCATATGACTAAGTCGGTTCATGATAGATATAACAACGCTCACCTATTCTAGCCGTCTAGAAGAATATGGCAGCTGCGCTCTTCTGCGTTTTGGTTTGGCCGCTGAATTCGGTTGGATTTCATTACTTTGCATTTATTACTAGAGGGGGCACTTTAGAAATCTAAGAGCAGGCCCAAGCTCTTTGCATAAGAGCTTCAATTTTCCTATTCAGTATAACTGCCTAACCCCCCTAAATAAAAAGTTAGTTATTGTTCCAAATGATGTCATTAGGTGCCTTTAGGTGCCTATGGGTACAGAAGAAGTAACCCTAGTGACATTGAAGAAATGACGCACTTCCCCGATTTTCGAATAGTTTGGGCACGTTTCTCAAAACACCCAGTATAGATAGTATATACACGCAAGGTGTTTTTTTACACATTTTAAAAATAGAAATGCCAAGACAATGAGGCCCCTGTTGTCTTTGCAAATAATAATATCTGTGGTTTTATGTCCCAAAACATGTGATATGATCATCCTATTCAGTCCTTGTGGCCTTAATCGGGACCACTGCTTCAAGCAAGTGATGTTTTATGTATTACTTATAGCATACTGCAAACCACGATTCAGTTCTTGCAGGAAGAGCACTCATTTCACATGAGTGCACTTCACAGGCACAGGCATTTTGAAAAATAATGATAATTGAAATTCGAGGCCACGAGTTAGGCAAAACAGAAATTGAGTGCACAGGAAATATGTCAGCCCTGTTACATCAGACTAGAAGCTCACATGACAATTTTTAGAAAAATGGCATGTTGCAGCTGGTCATAGTCAGGAAAAAATAGCAAGACATCCCAAATTGACCTCTTATTCTTTGCATCTTGTCTGTAGTGCTTATCTGTTTCTATCACGCTGTACCTTCAAAAAATGCAATTTTCACCTTGTTCTTTCACTGTACTGCTGAAATACTGAAATAAAATTTGCCACCAAGATTTTCAACGAAGATTGGCTTCTGATGTTGATAGACACAATCTTCATTTAAGGCACAAACTACAGGAAAATAATGAATTTCATGCTTTTTCACAAACGGCCGCACCTAGCGGCTGCACAGTGAACTAGGGGATGTGACGTTTGGTGACGCCACACAAGCCCAAAACAAGCAAGCCAACAAAGCCAGCCATCGTCCGTGTCTCTCGACCTGCTCAACTCCCCCTATGGTTTACAGAACCACTATGAACAGCAACAGTAGCGAACAATGCTCCCGGCTGGGACAAAGCATGAATACTTTTATGGAAGGAAGATATTGGGGTGAAAGGAGACGTAGAGAAAAGAACAGGAACTTGTGCATCCTGCATGAGCCTTGGCAATTGTGACGTCGTGGCTTGCACTCACATGCAGCCGCCATGCGCTGAGAATCTATCAGAAAGAAATACAGCAAACTGTTCAATAATACAAGAAATCAACTTAGTTCATCAAAACAGTCACATCTTCCGAGTATATTTTTGAAGTATTCGTTAGTTTTTCCAACATTTGTTTAGTATCCCTTCAGAGCTAGGTGTCAAACACTATGGTGCTGCTTCTTGCAGACAAGCAAATGAGTTCTTGGCACCTTTTTGAAGCTTATGAAATAAACGAATAAGCACTAAAAACAAAACACAAATATATGTGGTCTGATTGGGTATTTGAGTTGGCTCACTATTTTTCCTGACCATGTTCTGCTGTGAAGCACTTTTTTTGAATGAAAAAAAAAAAAAACTGCCTACCTTTTTTGTATTTTGAGCGCAATGCAGCAAGAATACCCATTCGAAACATGCATGATCCCAAGATTTCTCCTCTGCAAAAATAATGAGGCATTTAGTAGCGGTACACAGACTTACTTCATAGCATTCATAGCAGAAACATTCAATCATAGAATGAAACGCCCCCCCCCCCCCCCCCCCCCCGGTTGTAGATAACCGCAGTTTCAACACACACACTCACACAAATACACACACTTTAGTAAGAGAGCAACAAAATTGCAAAGAGCGGTTTGACAAAGCGACATTTTCGCGTACGTGGTTTAGGGTTTAGGTTTGCACAAAACTAAAAAAGAAAACCAGAGTCCCGGTCTACCCTCGGACTAGTAAAGGTATGCCACGCAGGTCAAACTGATCAGTCCTAAACAAAGCAGTATATTTAAAAACGTTAGTCAGCTTTGAATATAAACCAGCCGAACAGTCCAGCACTAGTTTTCAAAAACGCAAGATTGGATAAAATATAAACAAGTTCAGCGTACGGTACAAATTAATCCGCTTTTTCGCTGAATACAAACAAAACTGACATCAGCCTCTTCAGAACGACAGCCGCATCTTTACAAGCCTTACGTGGCTGAAATAAGGCTTCAAAAGCCGAGTGATCAAGGAATATTAATGAGAGCAACTCACTTTCCAAGACACAGTAATCTTGGTAATTCTAAACACTAGCTAAAACAGGTACATATTCTTTAAATGGTACCGCGCACTGTTCTATTGAACAGCTGCACAAGCATTCGATTTTGGACGTGTACTGTGGCAGTTCAAGACACATTTATTACAGCGTAGGCGCCCACTGACGATTATGTTCTGCCACGTCTATTTGACGGACCGGTTCTTGAGATGCACAGCAGCCGCCAGAACAAGAAATGATCCTTCCGTCACGCTACCAAATAAACGATTCCCGGGCTTCGAACTTACTTGTCTCGAATTCCGGCGGTCCCATAGTGAAGCGGCTTTGCAACGGACTTCGAATAATTTTGCAGAGCAGTTTTGACAGCTTGCTCGAAGAAGAGCGCCATCTTGGCGTCAACGTGATTCCCTAGCGGGCAATTCAGCGAGAGAACTAAATAAAGGAAAGATTGAGAGGTGCATAGAGTCGGTGAGCTAGAAAACGCAGTGGCAGAAAAAAACAAGAAATTAGTAACTACGAGACTGATAAGTGCAACAAGAATAAATGATCAAGTAAACAATAAGTAACATCTAGAACTCGTCGGAATTATGGTGATGACGCCACCTAAGTAGGGGTGTTTTCAAATAAATGTTTCGTTTTTAAAACCTATATGCAACAAAAATTACGTGAAAAATTTTCAAAAGGCGTAAACGAATTTATAAATAACCCTACGTAAGTGACGCCGTTATTCAACAGGCAACTCCTTCAATACAAGGCATAGCCTCTGAAATTAATAGCAAACGCTAAAATTGCCAATTTTAAAGGCCAAGTACAAAGACCCTTACTCCTACGTAGGCAGCGCCGCCATAAATGATCAGCGTTTCGCGCTCGTCCGGCAGGCAAAAGAAATCTAGGAGGCTATACTGGTAAACGCACGGAGGAAGCATATGGAGGAAGCGTAAACGTATTGTTGTCGCCTGCACTTGCAGGCCCTGTCATAGGTGTTCTGTGTCTTGTCTTCGTGACTAGACACTTGGACAGGGCACCTTTAGTTTCAGAAAGATACACGCACGTCCGTAGGCGTTTCTACTTGACGCGTAAAAGTGCTGCATGTCGCTGCACTTGTTTGAGGCGTAAGTTGGTGTCATTTGTCTGAGGAAATCGAAGCTTGAATTGCGGAAGTGTTCTTCAGCAATCTGCCCTGCTTCAACATGGGCCGAAGCCGTTCTCGTTCACCGCAGCGAAGAGGTGAGCAAACTTTACCAGTATCTATGATTTAGAGCTCGGTTCTTGTATAAAAAGGCACGGCATTGATATTGTGTTCTATGGTGGCGGGTTGTTCTGGAAGCAACGCGGTCGTTTCACACTTCTATCGTAGCTTTCTGTGTGCTTTTATATAGAAGGCCGTGCCCTCGCGCTGCGCGTCCACCCCAGCGCCAATGCGTGGGGGTGGACGTGCTGCGCCAATCTACACCTGCTGCGCTATGTCTGCGCCATCCTGCCCATGAGCGCATTATTCCGCCGGAACTGCTTCCAAGTGGTCTTTGTGTTTTCATTAGCCGCTATCATCCGCGATGTTACGAGCCCAAGACAGCTCATACTATCATCTTTACCTGGTGGGCTCTTTGTAAACGTTGATTACAGCGTGAAGAAAAAATTTGCCACAAGGTTGAAGCTGTAGGGAGTTTTAGAATAGCGCAGTGGAAGCCCTTGCGGTGCGGTCGCTGCCACTGCGCATGTGTTGTAACGCGAGCCCCCGTTCGTGCTTGCGGCCCGCCCGCAGAAAATCCGAAATAGCGTGTGGCCCGCAAGGCCCGCCAAACACTGGTGTCGATGCTATGGTGTAGCTTCCGTGCGTTTGGGTTGGGGGCATACGCTATTGGCCTCGAGCATAGTTTCCTAAAATTAGCTAGAAGAGACTCTGGTGCTGCGATCCTTCAGCGACCATGGGAATGATGGGTAGTACACACATTTGGCTAGTCTTCGCACTTGCGGCTTCGTTTATTGCTGAATACAGTTTCGTTTCGAAGGAAACAATGAACCCTTTTGAACTTCGCTAAACGATTCGAAATGGTAAGCCTAAAAAATAATGTGGTGAAGTGCAAACACTGACCATTTGCTATTTTTGTGTGTGTGAAAAAACAGCTCGAAGCTACACGAACACACACAGAGCCCAAAGCAGGCCAGAAGTACGAAGATTAGACAAATGTGTGTACTACCCATCATCCCATGCTCGATGAAGCGTCGTGCGTTGCAACTCCCATAGACACTAGCACCAGAGTTCCCTCTAGTGTATATTAGGCAACTCTATGGCCTCGAGAACATACCATGGCACCACCTACGTGATGACGTCACTCATAGGATTCCGGGTTGACTTTGTCTGCTAGAACATTGCATTTTCTGCACTTTTGCTGTGGACACCGTGCGTGCTTCCCTTTGTTTCGAAGCTCAGTGCCTAAAGAAGCGGTAAGATCTGATGATACAGGCAAGCAAACTACGAATCGGTGCCCCCAGTGGCACTCTCGTCTAATTTGCATCGTAAAATGGCAAATAAGAACTGGTGAAGCCATGGGGGACGATGCAAGTGGTGTTGTGGAAGCAAAGCTGCCATATTGCACAACTACGCATCCTATCTGTGATGTCAAAACGATCGCAGCGCTGGCCTCTCTAGTGGAGGCCTTCGCGGCCAATTCTAAAACTTCCTAGTTTTAAGGACAGCATTTGCCTCCCCCCTAGGGATAAATCCCTAATGAATATGATAGCAAGAAATTGTAATGCTATACGATGTAAGCCCAGCAGCTAACTCTTTTGGAACTGATCTCGCATAGCCCCTGCAGGGGACGAAGCGGTTTTTATTGAGTCTGAGTCCTTGTTTTTCGTGCGCCATGAAACTTCAGTACAACATACCAACACGCTCAGAACACTTTGTTACTTGGCTTCTAATTTTCTATTGTCAAAGCTTGTTAATATGCCTGTTCACTAATTTTCCAAGAAGGTTAAAGCAAAGGTACTACTGTCAAGGCATTGAATCGCATCGCTGGAAGAAGTTGGGAAATCATTCTTAGCACATTCGCCGTGTTGTGGGTATATATATGCTAGTTCGACACCGGTGGGTCAGGCCCTGTGCTTCTAGGTGGTGGCAAAATTATGAGCATCCATCTGCCTAATGATGTGACAACTTCATTGCACTTAGACTGAGAGGTAGAATTCTTGTTGAATGAGGGTATGAATAGCCAGAAGAATGTTTAAGCACTTCATTCGTACTTGCGTTCATTTTGGTGCTGCCAAGTATATTATCATGGATCATCATGCCTGTACAATGCAGAGGTAACAAATAAGTGTTTGTGTTTTCTGTCGTCAGGCACTTGGGACTTCAGTGTCTGTTTACACGAAAAAGGCATAAAAATAGCTCTCTATCTTTCAAATGAATGCGCCGAATGCCAACTGGAATCATAGCTGCATCACCTCGTGGGAGTGAATGAAGCAGGCACAAGTTCATGGCCCACAGGCGGTCACAGTGCAACTGCAAGGCTTACCGAAGGGTACACTGGTGGATCACTTCATATGTAAAACGAGACCTTAAGAGTGTTTTTTCCAGGGGTTGTGTTTACATTGCTAATAATTGGGATAATAATGAGAGTGGAAGAATATAGATTTCATTCTGTTTGGTAATCAGCATGATATCGGAGGTCATATTGATTTTTTTGTCATCATTATGTATATAACACAATGTGCTTAGCATTCGTAGTTTCTATGCCATATTTAGTCATCTTTTGCAAATGTGGGTTTCTCGGTTTATAATATGTGCTTTTTTTATCTCAATCATTCAATGGTCTGTCTTTGCGTTTCAGCAGAAAGAGAGCGGGCTCGATCTCGGTCTCGTGAGAGAGATGGCCTTCGTGACCAACATCGCGAGCGAGAACTTGATCGAGAACGCAGGCTATTGAGGGGTATGTATTGAATGGCCTTTACTTCAATCATTACTTTTCATATTCTGTCTGTTGATTTATTTCTTCTTGCTTGCTTTATTTTAGAGCATGCTGTTGAAACAAGAATACGCTAGGGCAGCTGTCAGAAAGGTATGAAAGTTTACACAGATACCCATTGAATGGTAGAGAAGGCAAACATGTCTGTGTGTATCTGTGTCGATTTCCACCCCTCTTCTCATTGCGGTCTTTCATGAACTACGCTAAGAAATACAGCTATGCCAGGACATGTGCCAGTAAATTGTTTGTGATACATTTCACTGTTGTGCATGCATACAAGAAAAAATATTCATAAGCACCTTTTTGCCTTGGTGAAGCCTGGTGGCGTGCACATTGTTACATATAAAAGTTGCAAGGTTGTGAGGGGCAGTAGTACCAATTCCACTAGTTTTTTCTTTACAAGTATGTACCAATTTCAAGCTTTTACATCTGATTTCATTGTCATTTTATAGTATGTTTGGTACCATACAGTTATCGTTATTTGCATATAAAGTACCTTAAAGTATGGACGTTCACACAACCGAAAAACCTTATTTCAATCAACCAACAAGATATACAGTGAAACCTTGTTGATTCAAAGTCGCTGGGACTGTGAAAAATCTTCAAACGACGCGTGTTTCTGAATTAACAAAACATGCAAAAAGTGGGATGCAAGAAACTTGGAAATATTCAATGTAATCGGAGGTGGTCGTTTGTTGTGCCACCTAGTTTTTGGCTCTGAAAGATATGTTTTCCAGCAAAACCTGCTCCCATATTTTTCCAGTTTCAGTTTTATTCATTTAAAATACAAAATTTGCGGTTAAAATATGCGGATGAGGGTCCTAAAGTTGGGCGACTGCAGTGGGATCCACAATTTTGCTGCAAACACGTGGGAATAACGGGCCTCAATGCTGCCTGTGCAAGAAAACAAAAAAAGTCTTGTAATCAGCTGAAGTGTGCACCTGTGAGAAAGATGTGCTTCACTGCACAGTGGTGACATGCGGGCAGCATGTCACCTTCTCCTCCAAATGTCGGCGCATGATGCGACCATTCACCCATTCTTTCTGGTATAAAGAAAAGTTTAATAATAGTCAGTGTGATGAAATTTGCAATGTGTTTTGGCTGAAAAACATGATCATTGAAGTTTTAGAACAGGGTTTTCGAAGAAGGCGTTGTAGGTATGTACAGGTGCGATCAAAAGTGTGCAGACTATGGGATTGCGTGGCAGAATGCATCGAGGCGCCAGCTAGTGACAAGACAATACGAGACGCCTGGTGCAGGGCGCATGCGCGTGCAGTCTTATCACTTGGCTTCTCATGTCGCTCTGTTGGACACGGTTACGGTGCTCGTAGCCAAAACGACGACTGGGTGTCGCTTTCTTTGCTCCATCAAATCTGTGCCGTTCTTTTGTGTAGCGGCTGCGACAGGGCCGGTTTAAGCGCTGGCTCGCGTTATTGACACCGGTTGATTAGAATAAGTAAGAATAATGAGCATCGCAAAACCTGACGAAGTCAAACGCTGCATACAAGAATTATTTTATCAGCAAAGTAATCTAACATTCAATAGTTTTTGTATTGTTTGGAAAATGCTGTATCTTTCTCTTTATAACGAGCATATAACTGGCCATTGCTGTTAGACTGCCTGTTACTGAAATTCTTGAAAAAGCAGCAAAGCACCACAGAAAGCAGTGTGCCAGTCTCTAAACGATAAAAAAAAAGAAACATGCGCAGCCTACACTAAAGGGGCAAGGCAAAGTAATAGTGAAGCTAATGGTTTCGTAGCAAGTCCGACCTTAGCTCTATCTCAATTAGGCGTAACTAGGCGTGATTTGCATAATTCTGCAGCATTAAACTCGAGTACTTTGGGTGGCCTTCGTTGTCACGCACATTATTTAGTAATATGTATAAATAAAGTTATGGCTAATTAGATTTATATTTAGGTAAATGGTCTCGACTCGGTCAGGAGTAATCGGCATCTTTCTGAGCTTGGTTTCTCTGAGCTCATGAGAATTCGACTTCATCCATGATAATTATTTGTGTTTTACTAAGATGTTGCTTAATTAAAACCTATTATAATCTAATTGGTTTGGTGATGCTATGACCAACCAAGCCTAATTAGATTTTTTACTGTTACCTTGGTGTTTGTCTAATTAGCTTAGCTATGCATATTTAGCCTAATTATGCCACATGAAGTTCTAGTATAGTGTGTACTGTAGTTGGATTTCAGGCTAATATTCAGTCATAATTAGTATGGAGTCAGTAAAGAATAATTAGTATCTTCTGGGACTTGACTTCTGTGGGCTCATGGGGAAGTCTACATAGATTAATTGATCGTGGTAAGGTTTGCGTTGTATAGGCTAATTTTGCACGGCTAGGTTAAGAATGAGCATGATCACATTTGTCTAATTAGATTTGGCTATGCTTATTTAGACTCATCTGGGCTCATTCATGCCTAACTTTGCTTAACATGAAAACACCAAGCTGGACTGGGCTTAACTAAACCTACTCACGCCTGACTCATTTAGGTCATAAAGTGCTCGACAACATTTGGTTAATTTCGGCTACATTAACTTTGACTTAACTAAGCTCATTTAAGTGCAACCTGACAAGGGCAAGCTGGCCTGAAAATAATTTAATTTTGTGTGTTTGGCTTCGTCAGGTTGTGCGATGCTTGCTATGCTTACTTATCCTAATCAACCGGCGTCAATAACAACGTGAGCCGGCACTTGAACCGGCCCCGTTGCAGCCGCTATGTAAAAGAACAGCACAGATTCGATGGAGCAAAGAAAGCGACACCCAGTTGTAGTTTTGGCTACGAGCGCCGTAACCGTGTCCAACAGAGCAACATGAGAAGCCAAGTGATAAGACTGCATGCGCTCTGCAGCAAGTGTCTCGTCGCTAGCCGGTGCATCAATGCATTCTGCCACGCGATCCCATGGTCTGCACACTTTTGATCGCAGCTGGAGCAGCCGCCAATCAGAGGTTTGTATGCATTGCGAAATCTGCCAGGTGGACTTTCATTAATTTGTTCATAATCTTAGAAAGAATGGGTAAATCATAATGCCCTGATGTTGCAGTGAAGCACGTCTACATCATAGGCACAAATTTCAGTCTTCCAAAAAACATTTTTTTGTGTGTCACTCATTTCTACCATTAAATGCATTGCCATGTGGCTCCTCAGGGTCGTCATTTCCGCGGATTTGCAACAAAATCAGAATAATTTGCACCCAAAGTGTTCTAATCATTGGGACTCATGCTGACAGCTGCTTCAAATTATCTCACTCAAACTTGCATTGCAAAATATGGGACAGCAGAAAGCAGGATTCCAAAAGAAGTGAGTTCAAATTAATGACATATTACTGCGCCAAGGCTGTGTGAACTCTTAATAAACAAAAATCATGTGTATACATTTATTGACATCTTCTCATACCACTTAAAACTAAACATCTGGGTACCTTGAACTTGTCCATGGAAGACAACTGATTTCATTTATCAGCCATGTGTTCTTAATGAGTCATTTCAGTTATCAGCCATCTCTTCTTAATGAGTCAATGTTTTAGCATGAGGGCTAAACCAGTGTCTCTGCTCTACAACACATGGCTGTTTTCAGAATTGTTGAACATTGAAAGTGCAGCTTGACCTGAAGCTGAGTCAGGGTTGCATGAGCTAGTTTGTGGAGTTAATAGTGGGAATTTTTTATTCTGCGTAGGAGCAAATGAGAGAAATGAAAGGTAGTATGTTTAGTGTTGGTTTTTCATGTTCATTCGTACTTTGGGTGAATGTAAAGTATTTGTAAGCAGGGGGGGGGGGGGGGGGTGACCTATCTCAAGTTTTGCTGCCTAGGAACATTATTATATGGTTTTGTCATGTGCAAAATCTTTCAGTTTTTTTTTTTTTACTTTTCAGAGCGTCACAGGAGCCGGTCCCGCTCTTTGTCTCCTAGACTCCGCAATCGTTCACCGAGGCGCCGACGGAGCCGGTAATATTGTTTTTTTTATTATACTTTAGTGTAGTTCACTTACTAAGGTATTATAGGCCCATGAAAATTCATACATTCAGGCTGTTGTTTTTTCTTTGAATATACATTTTTTATACTTACCGTTTTTACTCACGTAATGCGCGCACTTTATAAAAAAATTGGAGCAAAGTTGGGGGTACGTTTCTTATGCAAGGCAAATTTTATGACAACTTTTTTGGTATGAGCGAAAAAAATGCAGTACAGTAGACTCTCAGTGAACGGAAATCTGTTAAATGGAACTACTGCTTAAACGGAACTATTGCCTCTGCAATGCTTGGTTTCAGGCTTGTATTCTGCACCCATCTTCACCTCTGAGTAAGCGGAACTCCTGTTAAATGGGACACATTTTCCCGGTCCCTTCACGTTCCCTTTACTGGAAGTCCACTGTAATGAAAAAAAAAAAAAAAAAACTCGGGTCACTTAGTCTTTCGCAATTGTCATGCGTGTACACTGTTTGGAAACAGCTTTTTTGTTGCACTTCACTGATCATCCGTGGTTGAAGGTACTATCTTCTGCAAGTTGTCTCTTCGCTACCTGCACACTCCATAAATGTATTTCACAGCTATCTTTTGTCACACTTGTTTACCCGCAACAGTGGTATCTGCTGTGATCTCGATCTCGAGGGACGCCTAGAAGTGTGCACCATGTCACACTTAGCCAACTTCGTGGCAACCTCGCACGACGACCGCGCCGCCGCCGTATGCATTGCAGCAAGTAACCAACACTGCAGCAAGCAACCACCAAAGCATCAAAACAAACAGTCAATAACAAGATTAATGCCAAAATACAGCTGCTGCTTCGCTGTCCTGATGAAAAGTTACTGTAGAAAAACTAGCCCATATCTCGCATTCTTTGAAGTACGTGGGTATAACAAGCATGAAAAGCAAATTGCAACCGAAAATCATTGCGATTTCTTGTGGGCGACAAGCGATGTTTTATGGTTTCCCAGCAACCTGCGAAGCGATGCCGACAAATGGCCCTTTGCGACAGCAAATCCTGTCATCGCTCGAAAATCGCGTGCATGTAGTTGGCCCTTAAAGTTTCATATTTTCAAAAAACGACTGTCAGTTGGCACGGGCATATTGTGACCTTCATTCACTCTGTGCTTTTCAACTTTATTGTTTCTACACTTGCACCATTCGTGAACCCCGCTGTGGCGCACAGATTAATAAACACCACGAGACGTGCTGCGCGCAGATAGAAAAACAATACGGCGTGCAGCAGCGGGCGAGGGGGGAGAGAAGGGGGTTTGAGATGAGGCTGTCGGGGGGGGGGGGGGTCGGATAATATAATAAAGAACGGAATAGCTCCAATGGCCAAGGAAGAGCCAGGTGTCTGTTAGCGGGACTGCAGCGGATGAAGGTTGGGGGAGGGTTTATTATGCGGGAGAAAAAATTCAGAATTTTGACAAATCAAGTTGGGGGTGCGTTTATTATGTCAGTGCGTTCATTACGCAAGTAAATACTGTATACTGTGCCAGCCAGGCTCCTGTCGTGTTTGCACGTAGACTGTACATTGAGAGTTTGATACAGCCTTTGACGTGGTCTTACCAATAAAAGAAATTTCTCATGTTTGCTCAAGCAGGTTGAATGATATTGTTACATCTTTTATGCATCAGTATCAGCAATCTAGGATATTCAGTTTATTTGTGTATGTACCACAGAGAATGAAACATTTAGAAGATGCAGCTCTGCTCCTTGAGGCGACAAGATAATGTCGCATTGCCAGAGAGCCAAATCATGCTGGCGGTGTCTTGCGGTAGAAAAGGGAATATTAGACCCTTCTCTGTTTGCAAACAGTGTGAAGTCACTGCAGACACCCAGCCCACAATGCCCTCTCTCAAAGCAGGTGCTGGTTGGCAAGAAAGTTCCGCCAGCGGCATCTTTCTGCTTAGCAGAGCTGCGTGTCTGTATTCCTTCGGCAGAAATTTCACCATTGCTAAGTTCTAAAGTTGCAGCTTTTAAAAGGAGGGGTCGTGGAAGGGTCACTGCTCATAGTGTTGAAATTTGCTCCTCGTAGATACTGAGAGACGCGACTAGCACACAGTGGGCTTCTTTCACGTAGATTGCACTCATGAAAAAATCTTACCTTGTTCGAAAGCGATGACTGGCGCTTTGAGAAATATTTACATGGGGTTGACCAAAATTATGTAATATGGTAGGGTAAGCGTCTTTTACAAGTATTTCTGCCGACTCATGACATAAATAATATAAAAATGCTGTTGCGTCAACAAACTTTTTTCTCCAGACATGTAAGGCACATACCTGTAAACCACGGGCAGTGGTATGTGCCGCAGGTGATTGACAGTTTATAGTATCTACCCATGAACAACGAGAACAGACACCGGTAATTGAAATGTAAGTGTTAAGAAAAACTGGCATTTTCAGCGTTGGCCCAGCGAATGTGAACAATAAATATCCGGGTTGCAGCAGGAATCGAACTCAAGTATTCTGCAAGCCAATCACTGCATGCCGCAGGCCATGCCAGATCTCGAAACTGCTTTGGAAGAAGGCTCTTTGCAGACCACCGCAGTTGTCTTCCACTGCCGATGTTATCACTCGAAATAAGGGGGGGGGGGGAAATATTTGCGTTAGAACGGGGTTTGAGCTTCGGTCCTCTTTGTTTCACTCTTCTTCTACCGAGCCATGCAGGTGCTTGAAACTTAGCGCACAAAAACCCTTATACAAGCGTTATGTCGAGTCGGGAAGGAACTGCTTTAACATACGTAATATAGCGTGGTAAAAGAGTAAAATAACAACCAGGTGACAGATAATGCGAATCGTGTTACCAGGCATCACACAATATGAATTAGGTAACGAGTGGGTTGTTAAATGCTTCCAGCCCGTTCAAAAGGGCTAAGCCATTATTCTATGTTGTCATCAGGCACCAAATCAATGAATTTAGTTGTGGGTACCTTGGAATCATACTTGTATTTAAAGCCACGATAGAGTTTGGAAGCAGTTCAAGAAATGGTTTTCTTCCAGCTTTCGCTTTGACTGTGCTGCACTTTCTGTGCAGGCGTGGCATTTTTTTCTCTTACGGATCACCTGCTTCTGCCTTTATCTTGAACAATGAACCACTGAAAAAAAAAAAAAAACATTTCTGCATATTGCTGTGAAGCCATCTGCGTTGCATTAATGGGAAGCCAACTTGCATGCCAGAGTTCGCGTATAGCTCAATGCGTAAACTTTCTCAGAATTTTCTCTATTATGTGTAGGTTATAAACAAGAAAATACAGTACACAAAGGATGGTAGCAAGAGCGTGATACGTTGCCAAAAGTTATGTTGCAGCACATAGTCTACAACCCCTGCTACAAACTGTGTAAAAAGGCAAAATTAAAAAAAAAGCTCACAGTTGAACTCTTTTGTAAGAGAAATGCACAGGGGAGCAATTCTTTTCTTACATGTGAAGTGTCTCTTACACGCTGCGTACCATGTATGTGTTTTATTATCACCTGTTTCAATGCAGGCACACTGATGTTTCTTGTACCCATCTGTCTCTTACTTCAGTGTCTATGAAGAGGTTCAGCTGTATTGCCCTGAAGGCATCTTTCTAACATAATCAGCAGGCAATGCCATAGATTTAACTTGTGTACTGATATTAGTGCTACAAAAAAATTATATTAGTAATTGTATATGGAAAGAATTCCCATTTCTTGGAGAGTATGCATTGTTGCGACTCCGGGTCCAGCGGGTCTCAGTTTTGGTAGCAGGCCCCCGTCCTAGGACCCATCGTCGAACAAGTCAGATGAGGCGCTCATAAGAGCGACAGCAATTTATTTACATGGTTAGTAAACTGAGAATTCGGAAAAGAGGCGATCAAGTGATCAAGTAGAAGTCAAGAACTGTACAGGAGAGCTGTTTAACTGTACAACTTGAAATGTACAAAAAGTCTTTCGCCTATATAGCGCCGCGTTGCAAACCCTGGGTGCATTGTCCGCGGCTTCAGCCAATACGGCGCTCTATGGTCTAGGTGCTCCACCCACGAAGGTGGGTAAGACACCACACAATGCACGTAGAGAGGGTACAGTCTACACGATGCCCAAATATGGTCACAAACGCACTGCACCGACGTTTCACTCACGTCGCCAAGGTTTCCTGCACGTCTGATGATCTTAGATGACCTGGGTTTTCAAGAACTCTTCTGGCAGTTGGGTGAAGTTCAAAAAACCGGTTCCTGGTACACGTGTCAAAATTGCCTAACTGCGTTCGGGTAGGACAATGTAGTGGTCCGCCAGCTTATCGTCAAAAAATGCCATTTCATTCAGCCGATCCTATAGAGAAAAGGGAAAGGAGGAGTGGTCGACTAATCCGTCATTGTCGAGGCGGGCTCCCGCAAGGGCTGCAGCAGATAGTGCCTTTTCCTTTCCTTCAACCCCACATTCCATTCCTCGTTGTTTGCTAGAACGTGCGGCTTAGCTGCGAATTTCCGGGGTTCCGCTTCTCCTCGCAAGGTGCAGCCACAACCAGTTTGGTTTTAGCTTTCAGCCTAAACTGCAAATACTACGCTGGTTCCGATCTTTCCAGCTCCTCGGTGGCCTCAAAAATGGCCCAGCTGCTTCCTTGTTTGCCTCGAAAGCCTTGCATCGAGTCGAGCTCACAATGGCCTTTCTTGGCTTGTGCGTTTTTCTTGCGCGAACCAGTCCTGGACCCCTTATTCACGTTTTGCTGACAGGAAACCAACCCGTCTTGACGGCACATCTTTGCTTGGAATGCGTCGAAATATTTTCGTCCCGTTCACAAAGGTCGAAAGACTCGAATAATGATGACGGTCATAACAGTCTCTCTTGCGCGGCGTGGGGTGGGGGGGGGGGGTGAAGATCTCGATGGGCTGAGGTATGGAGCCACAGTTTGGAGAGATCAGCGGTGATGTCCGGTCTGGTGAAGAATGTCCTTGATGAAATAGTGACCACCTGCTTCAATTTGGGCTCAACAGACATCACATATGCGCATGAAAATACAACCACTCACCTAGTGAGCGCCAGACAATTCCGTCAAACCCCACTGGGCAATTTTCCCTCGTGCAACTAATTAAATTAAGCGCACTAGTTATTTTAAATTCCTCTCCTACCTTTAAGTGAAACAGCATAACAACACTGGAAGCACACCCAACCTGAAGCCTAGGATAGCGGTGTCTTACATGTATTCACCACGAGTTCAACGAACTCTCAAAAGCAACAAAACAAAAAAAAAGTTAATGGCCCCCGTCTAGGTCAGGAAAAGAAATATTGAACTCTCAAGAATGCCGCTCGCGACAGGGTAGTGACTCGGACCATCTGAGTTGCCATGGAGTATCCCCTTTTGAAACGTATGTCAAACGTATACTGTTGCAAAACGAGGCTTCAATGTAGCACGCGGCCATTCTTAGAGGACAAAGGCAGTAGCACCGAGAGAGGACAATGCTCCACCTCGATAAAACTCACTTGGTAATCTAGTAAGCTAGTTTTCCGAGCTGCTTTCACTAGGCTTTTCCACCACCTAAACAGGACACTTGCAAAAAGCCAAAAGCTCAAAACGAAGAATTCTCGGATGAGTTCTGTTTACGCACAAAGAAAAACTTAAGTCTTTGCGCCAACTCTCTGCGCATGCTATTGCCCAAGCTCAAACATTACCGTTTCTTCATGTTTCTAGTACAACACACCTTAACAGACTCAAATATTTCACACTAGATTCGGCTGCATCTTACAGCTGTCAGAAATGTCACTCCTACCTCGACTTTCTGTAACTCGTAACGCTCCGCTTAAACTATCGCACGATACTTAAGCATTCCATCAAAAACCAAAGTGACGGAACTAAACCTTGCGTAATAGTCTTGTTTGGTTGATATTACCTTATCATGCCAGGCCCTAGGATAAAGAACGCGCTGGGTTTCTTCAGGCGCTTTAGCTCTATTCACATTTATAGAGCACTGTAACGTTTTACGACCAAACATACGTCTCCGTACCATCTAAAAGTCTTCCGAATGCGCGTTTGATTGTAAATGTACATCATTCCGGGTTTAGCATGAACCCTTTGAAACCAGTCTTTGTTTTCTGATCAAACCTTACATACAAAAAAAAACTTCTACATCAAAGGTTCAAAAGTGGTAGAATATTTAAAGAATTCCCTTCTGGAAACATTGGGTCGCATTCTGTAAATAGCTTGCAGGTGACCTTCAAGCTTTTAGTCTCGCACGTGGCAGTCGTGTTCTCTGCCGCTTTCATGATCGCCACAGGCCACAATGAGCGCAAGCTCCTAGCCCAACTTTGCTATCTTGCCTCATTACCGATTTCGGCTGGCTCTCTTCGTGACACCGAAAATTCCTGAAGTGCGGGGGAAAGACTCGTTATTGTCCTTTGGTGTTTAGTTTCACCCCGAATTTAAGACGAGCAGCCTTTTTTTTAGGAACCTGTCGACATTGTTGTCGATGCAAACCTGCTCTTTAAGGCCGCGCCTTCCTTCTTGGGGACGCGTGTCCCTTTCCGCTACTTCTCTCGCCAATTTCGCCCGACCGTACGTGTCAAAGGACGTTTTATTGAATTGCTTGATGGCCAATCCTTCCGTTTTCGCACTGGCTGAGGGAGCCGGTGAGGTCCGCTCTTTGTGCCGCCGTCCTTAGCGGTGGATCGAGTCCTCGCTGTGGGCCACGAGCGAGGTCAACTCACGTTCCAGCTGGGGGACTGGCCCAGAGAGCAGGTGAGCGGCTGGCACGATGTCGGGGTGCTGCCAGGACGGGACGAGGCAGCTGAGTGCTGCTGCTCTTGCTGCGGCAGAGGGCCTGCTCAAAGAGAGGACCGACCCACGTCAAGCATGGCAGGCGAGCCAAGCGGCGCACTGTCTCCAAGCGACCAGCACCCCCGTCGAACACGGAAAGCGAGCCAAGCAGCGCACAGTCTCCTAGCGACCGGCGCCCATGTCACTCGCACGGCCAGTGAACGTTTCGCGTAAAAACTATTGCTCAATAGCTAGTGTGCTCCTATGTTAAGTGCATGTCTGTCCATGTGTATGAAAGGTCAATATAAGCGCGGACATGTCTGTGCATTAGTGTATTGGCAAGTCCTTTGTGGAGTGATTCTGCCCCTAATAACATCACACGGGTGAGTTGGAACTTATTTATAGTGTGAAGTGCACAAAAAGAAACCACACAAAAGGAAACGGCACAAGTCCTGTTTTCTTGTTTTGTGTGGTTTCTTTTTATGCGCTGCCCACTATGGGTAAAAATGCTATAAGCATCCTCTAAGGTATTGCACTTAAGTGAACTGTTGTAGAATCTCTGCCAATGGGAATAGCCATTATGTAAATAGCAGTGATCATGTTATTGGTAAACACTAATTTTCTGTTGTTGCTTTCACGGCAGATCTCCAAGAAGGCGCTCTCGCTCCCCAAGGCGGAGGTCTAGGAGCAGGTGAGACTTCATTGTTCTCTGTATCATAGGAAGTCATACCCTATGCACTAGTAATTTCTTTCATTATGCTAGGTCATTTTAGTGCTTTTTTTATCATGAGGTAATACCAGTCTAGTGGTCATATGAACTTGATACTTAATTGGCTTGAATAAATTCTAAGATGCCCTACAAGCCACTGTAGCCAACATATGCAGTGGTGTTTGGAAAGGCAGTGGTTTTAAACGGAGTTTTGCTTTTGTGATGAAAATGATGATTTCAAGTTTTTTTTCTACAAGCTTTTGCCATTTCAACTGGATGCTATGTCTGGACGCTCTGTATTTTTCAGTGTTGCCCAACAATTTTTTTCTATTTGCAAAGTAATGCGCTGTGCATCCTGACACTTTTGAACCACAGGACAAGCCAAGTGATTAAGTTCTTAAGACTTCATTTAAGTTTGTTATGAGTGCCATTACTGGGCATACGATAATTCTGTTTCAAATTTGTTCTTAATACTGACTGGCATGTTATGAAGGTCAAAAATGTGTTTTGGTTAAAGCATCCCTTTTTGATGTTGAGAGCAGCATCTTCATGGGAAAAGAAAACATAGCAGTCTCCTTGTGATAGTTGTCAGTCTTAATGGCAGACACTCAAAGGAATGACCTAACATTGTCGTGTTCACGTTTCATTCTCAATAATCGTACTTACTTGCAGCTTTGAAGAACTACTTTTGAATAACACAACTGCCTAGACTGAATTCAAACAGAAGATATGCTAGAAAGATTGAAGCCTTGATTGGCTTAAGAATGTGCCCTTAATTGAATGTTTTAACCTTGACAGTAGACTCTTGTTAAATGGAACCTTAAAGAACGTTTCAGCGGGAGTTTTGTCTAAAAGCCCCGCCGCAGTGGTCTCGTGGCTAAGGTACTCGGCTGCTGACCTGCAGGTCGCGGGTTTGAATCCTGGCTGTGGCGGCTGCATTTCCGATGGAGGCGGAAATGTTGTAGGCACGTGTGCTCAAATTTGGGTGTACGTTAAAGAACCCCAGATGGTCGAAAATTCCGGAGCCCTCCACTACGGCGTCTCTCATAATCATATGGTGGTTTTGGGACGTTAGACCCCACATATCAGTTCTGTATAAAAGTTTTTTCATTTACTGTGAGTCTACTGTCCAGTTCACAATTATCATGGAGCCCACGCTCGTGGTTGTTACGGGGACTAGAAGCATATCTTTGTGCAGGAGTTAATCGACAAGCTTGTATTGGCTACCTGTGGAACTGACGCATTCGACATGGCTGATGAGCATGTGAGCCTGGATGCACGTTTTTAAGAGTAAAGAATAAACTGTCTTAAATTGTGCAGGGTGGATAGCGTGAAATGATGCTGTGCTGGAGTCTCCTCTGTTGCCTGAAATGTATTACGAAAAACTGTCACTTAATCTTTTATTCTATTAGGGAGCGTAAAGAGAAGGAAGCTCCTAGGGCGCTTCCCAAATTCCTGTTGGAACGGCCACCCATAACAGGTAACACAGCATTATTTCTTGTATACAACCTCTTTTTCCCTTAGTGGTGCACTCTTGAACTGATTTTATTTTCTTTATTTGCAGCTAAAGACCTGGAAGGAAAAACTGAAGAAGAGAAAGAGATGATGAAGCTTATGGGATTTGCCAACTTTGACTCGTCGAAGGTTAGTGATAAGTTTCATTTCACAGCTATGAAACTGCCTGTGCATGAATAGTCATTCCACACATTGAAGCATTCATGCTTTTTATTTTGTTTCAGTAACATGCAGGGCCAAATTCTATTAGCACTGGCTTGTATTTCATTATCTTCTTTGCCATCAACAAAATAACCATAGCAAATAGTTAGCTTGAAGTGTCTAATTGATTGGTGGTGATGAAAGGTTGCTCTTTATTCATATTGAAGTTGAAAAGAAGACATATGCACTTGCTTTCACTGTGTAGTACTCGTGTGCTTCTAAAATGATTTTAAAACTCTCACTGTGCCTAATGAAGGCGGTTTGTCTTGATTGTGGGTGAGCATTTTGTGCTTGGCAAGTAATAATCTCCAGATAATTAAAGATTTGCTGAGTAACTTTTCAATTTATGCACATTAGGATGCACATTATTACCCTGCTCTCTTTTGTAATTTTACCATAAGTGAATTTTGTTAAAAAGTATAGGAACCCCAGTCTCAGGTTTGTGGAGCGATGACAATGCTGTGCTGTGATTGTGGAGCTCTGGGAGAACTGGAGATAGGCCCAGCAGGTGGCGCGACCGATTCAGCCTGTTTCACAGACACCCGACCACAGTGGCATGCATGCGCAAGCATTTTACGGTTGGTGCGGGAAACTTCCCCGCTGTGCCGTGTGGCTTGCTTTGCTTAGCTGCATTTCCGCGGTGGTAGATACGACCCCACGAAAGCGGAAGCGAGGTCGCAAGTATGGCTGTGTGTCACAACAGCGCAGACAGTATCGAGGCACGGGACCCACCTGAGATTCTGTATCGGTTTCCGGACAAATCTGTAGAGAGAGAAAGTACTCAAGCATTGTTGACCGCAGTTAAAAGTATAAAGTAAGTTTTAGCTCTGTCTTGCCTTTTGTGTTGATTATCTTAATTCTTCACTTGAAATAGTTTGTTTCGACTACTTCAATCAGTACGGAACGCCGCGTGTCTATGCAACTAATGCAGTAATGACTGCTTGCTGTCTCTTTGCATTGTGAAAGTCTAGTTACAGCGGTATGTTGAAATAACTGTTTTTATTCCCTGTGTTTGTGAGATATAGCTGTCATTGTTTAATGTCCACACTCGCATAAGTCATACCGTGGTTAGCGTTCAGTTTTTGGTTGCTTTCAACTGAACTGCGCACATTCTCAAAGGATCGCCGCCTGCAATTCATGCATCAGGAAGGCCGTGTCATTGTGCCCATACGAATGTCCATTTATGGATGAAAGAATTCATAAACAAGAGTTGTATGTTTGAGTCGGCGTTTTGACAAGTAGACTTGCTTTCTTCAATGTTAGAATTGTTCTAGACTGTGAAACGTCAAGTCAAACACACAAACCTGTTAACGGATTTTTTCATCCTCAGCTTCCATTTTCCTCTTCCTGATTTTTAATAGATTTATGTAAAAGTTCAGCTATTAAAGGATTCTTAAAGTGTTTACTATTTTTGCTCACATTCCAAACTATAAAAGTTTCTTTTCTGTGATTATTTATTTCAAATGTACAGTAAAACCTTATTTATTTGGATCTCGTTAACTGAAATTCGGTTAACTCGGACACGCGGCACGGTCCCGGCAAAACTGTGTATATTTCAATGGTGTCAAACGATGCTCGTTAATACGGAAGGGATTTAGACGCGTACTGCTTAACTCTGACGATTCCAGACAGGGCTATCGGGGCTCCATGCTTTCAGTAATTGATTATGGTTACTGAAAGCATGGAGTCCCGGCTCTGCCGTCTGTTATGGCCGCGAAACCGAAGTTTTGGAAAAACCGAACGAATAGCAGCAGAATATGATCATCATGATAGTGATAAGTTTCACTATCATGATGATCGTTATAGTGAATAAGGGGGAAGTGGCCAGGTGGCGCTAGTCGCCACGCGGCAAAAGCGCTTGGGCCGCTGTTGCATTAAATGTCTGCGAAATGCACCGCACACGGCCCCACATGCACGGACGGGACAGTTTGCACAGCCGCCGCCTTCCCAATTGCCCACGACGCCTACGCTGCCGATTTCTTTGCGTTGTGACTTGCGCACAGCTAGTGCAGCTCGGGTACATCAAAAGAGTTTACTGTTGGGCGAGTTGGCGCTTTGACATAGAAACTATCATTGCGTTGTGGGGCTGTGTTTGTGCGCATTGATGGTGCGGTCTTTGCTGGTTTGCTGACTGGGTCTCTTCGATTTTCAAGCCTCTGGCAGCTCTCTGGCAGCCAGAGCTAGCCAGGGATCGGCTAGTTCCGGTTTGGACAGGAAACAGCGTCCCGGTCAAGTGTGTGGGGAACCAGAGACAACTAAAAGCTGCTCGAAGATCGCAAAATCGAACGCTGGGGCAGCCAGCATAAACGTAAACGAACTCTACCATCCTGGCAACAAGCGATATGATGTGCCGGGTGCGCATTGGTTTTTTCTGCATCATCCGATTGCAAATACATAGCTAAGCTCGCCTACGCGTTTGGGGTGCGACTTCGTAAACTTGCACAATCACTCGCCGCGTCCGCGAACCAAACAGCCATCTGACGCACGCCGCCTAGAGAACGATGCAAGGTGAGCTGCCACGATGCTGATGGCTTAACAAGCTCGCGTCTTTTTAGTACATGTAACAATCAATGCACAGCACGATGCGAAATCACGTGAAAGTGATCATGTCCCCAAAATAGCTCGAGCATATCTACCTGCTCAGCTATCGCGTAATATAGTATACGTCGCAAACACGCGTTGACCAACTTACGTTTTTGTTTAAAGTTTAGACATGCGTAAGTATCGGTACCACGAGTGCGTGTCGTATATAAAATAATCTTTTCCATGACACGTTTTCGATCCATTTAGGTACTTGCTTGTATATTTAAGTGGCGCTTAACAAATTTCATGTATATCAGCTTTGATTCTACCTACTTGGTCATAACCACATACTGCACGGCATTATTATGAAGAGATGAAAAACGACAAAGCTGACGATGAAACGGGCAACGAAAGGATGTATACATTTCTGAATCCATTTTCGTTTTTTTTTTCTCATTCCGTAGCCTATAATATCATACCAAATAAGCTGGCCCATAGATCGAAGTGCGCTCGCACACCGTTCGCGACCAGCGAGCATCACACACTTGAAGAGAACAGTAGTCGCGGTACAGGGTCTTCTATCACTATCGAAGATCGATCGAGTAGTCAAGTTTTAAGCGGTTCACCCACGCAAACATACAACGGAGCAAGCAAGTTCGAACACAATCGTCTTCGCTAAGCACACAGAAAGCAGGCTTGGCTCCACAAACAACTGCTATGAAAAAAAAAAGGAACTCATGTAGTGAAGAAGAGGGGCCTCAGCGGCATTTCTCGGCACCTCAGGGGCATCGCCATCAGTACAAGCTCGTGCTTGCTGCGCTTGGCCGGATGCTGCTAACTGTTTCGCCTTCTGCGTTCTGCTCTGCAAGTAAACCCTGTTACAAGTGGTGGAGTCTGCTGGGTTTCGATCACCCTGGAACTTTGGAATGACATTTTATGGTCCATTATTCCTACCGATGCAAGCGCTGCTCCAACTCCTCCACCGGCACCGCCTACTGTCCTCTGCGCAGGTTCTCTGCGTCTGCGAGATCCCCTTGTTTTCTCAGGCACAGAAGACAAGGACGTTGATGACTGGATTTCTATGTACGAGCGAGTGAGTACTCGCAACAAATGGGATGACGCCGCCAAGTTGGCCTACGTCTCCTTCTACCTGTCGGACGTGGACAAGCTGTGGTTCATAAACCACGATGCGGAACTCCTTACATGGTCTGCCTTCAAAACGAGCCTCACACAAGTTTTCGGACGGCCTGAGGTACGCAAACGCCGTGCTGAACAACGCTTGCATACTCGGTCCCAGCAGCTTGGTGAGAATTTCACAAGCTATATTGAGGACGTTCTGGACCTTTGCAAGCGAGTCAACGAGTCGATGTCCGAAGGGCTTAAGATCAAGCGCATCATGAAGGGCATTGAGGACGACGCTTTCCAAATGTTGCCTTCTAAGAGTCCTCGCTCTGTCGTAGAACTGACCGAGTTATGCCAGAGTTTTGACGAGTTGCGCAGGCAATGTCTTTCCACACGCCCTTTCTCACTCACCCTTATCAGATGAACGGGTTTGCCTCTCTTCCCTCGAGCCTGCACTTGCGTCATCCGCCTTGCGCAACATGACGGTGGAACAACGAAAGGATCCCTGGATCAGTGGCCTCATAAGCATTCCGCCACCAGGCTAGCAACTTTTGGCTAAGGGATGGTGTTCTTTATCGACGCAACTACAGTCGAACCTCGATATATCAAACGGCGTGGCGATCACGAAATAGTTCGATATATCCAGAATTCGATATAAAAAAATCACGAAAAAAATACGTCAACAGCTTGCTGAAAACAACCAACGAACCGTTGAAGCGTGGTGCAGTAAATACTCACTTGAAGATTCAAACATAGTATTTATTGTGGTGTTGGTTTAAAATATTGAAAAAGAGTAGCCTGCTTTTTGTTGGCCATGGCGTCTTTGACGACTGCGTCCTCAATATAGTCCAGGCGATCCATAAGTGATAGGCCGGTGCCTTCAATCGCGCAGCAGTGGCGGCGCTCAAGGGCCAAGGCAGCTACGACCTCGGCTGATGTCGGGAGCGGGGCACCATTAGCGCTTGCGGGATCTACCTCGGCAGAGTCTTTATTTGGCTGCTCAGCAGTAGCTTCGGCCACAATCTCCACATCCGTGAGCTCTGCCATTGTGAGCGCCACCGTTTGGAGTTGGGCCTGTCGTGCCCCACAGCGCGCGACAGGCCTAACTCTGAACGCACGAACACTGCGAGCACAACGACCGATGCCTGCCGATGCTACGAGGGAGAAGCTTGCAACAAGTGCGCAGTGTGCCGTTGACACCATAGAGACTGCAACGACTGCAAGCTGCAAGGCTGCGGCGCGCGTATGCCGCTACGTTAAAGTGGCGCTCTCGGCGCCATCAATGTGTGCAGCATTCGTAAACCCCCGGTGCTCTACCGCTACTCTCGAGAGTTGCGGGAAAGCTCGCCGCCTGTCAATGGAGCGTGGGTGGTTTGGGGTGGCTGAGTTCAATATATCCATTATATGTCAAACTTTGTTCGAAATAAAAAATCAATGCATACAATTTCCCGCGTGATATAGGAACCGTTCGATATAGGCAATAATTCGATATATTCATGTTGGATATATTGAGGTTTGACTGTACCTTTCCGACGGTCGCAAGTGTCTCCTTGTGATACCTCGCCATCTTCGAGCTGCTATCTGCGTAGCTTTTCATGCTGACCCACCTTTTGATCGTGTCGGCATTGACATTTACGGACCACTATTATCAGCTCTATCTGGTAATCGCTAGATTATTGTTGCGATAGACCATCTGACACGCTATGTTGAAATAGCTGCGCTGCCGACTGCCACAGCCCGTGATGTTGCAACGTTTCTGTTGCAACGTATCGTTCTGCGACATGGTGCCCCTCACGAGCTCTTAAGTGACAGAGGCCGTGCCTTCCTTTCTGACGCCTTGAAGGCATTACTCAATGAATGTCAAATCGTGCACCGCACAAGTACAACGTACCATTCTCAATTGAATGGCATGACGGAGTGCTTCAACCACACTCTTGGCAATATGCTGTCGATGTATGTCGTCTCTGATCATTCAAATTGGGACCAAGTTCTCCCATTCGTCACCTACGTGAACAATACTGCCGTACAAGCTACTACTGGGTTTTTGCCGTACTTTCTTCTATACGGACGAGAACCTTCCAATAAAATAGACACTATTCTTCTATATAAACCTGATAAGTTCGAAAGTACAACTCTGTTCGAAGCTGCCCGACATGCTGAAGAATGCCGCCAGCTTGCCCGTTCTTTTTCTACCGAGGACCAGTGGCAGCAGCGATCCCGCCAGCCTGGGGACCATTCAGCTCCAAACTTTTCACCTGGTTCATTGGTATGGCTTCGGGCACCTGCTACCGTACCTGGCCGCTCCTCAAAACTTCTTCCCAAATACTTCGGGCCACACCGCGTTGTAGAGCAAATGTCACTCGTTAACTGTATCGTGGAGCCCATCATCCCATCCACAGGCCTACGCTACCGCGGCCACGACACTGTCCACGTCTCTCGCCTCAGGCCATACTATAACCCATTAGTCGTTTCTTCTCCCTAATCCGCCAGGTAGGCGCCTTTTTCTGCGGAGGGCGATTGTAGTGAAGAAGAGAGGCCTCAGCGGCATTTCTCGGCGCCTCAGCGGCATTGCCATCAGCATAAGCTCGTGCTTGCTGCGCTTGGCCGGACGCTGCTGACTGCTTCGCCTTCTGCGTTATGCTCTGCAAATAAACCCTGTTACACTCAGAAGAGTCCTCCATGCATGCGTACGAACGTGTAGTACATAACTTCGGAGGCAGGTGCACGACGCAGTTAGCAAGCAACAGTTCGCTGCATTGTTCACAGGAGGAAGCTTCACGAGAAACATAACAAGAGCGATGAACAGTAACTTCGAACTCTCGCCACCACTCGTAATCGCCTCATCTCGCACAGCAGAACAGGCTTTAGAAGATAACGCCACGCGTAATGAGAAACGAAGGTGCAGGGCTCAAGCACCCGCATTGCAATCCGTCAAGTTCTCGCGAAGATGGCGCCAAGTGCGTATCTCATCTTTTCGTCGTCTGCTAGCCCAAAACCGGCTCAAAACTTTCCAGAGAGCTTTCACGACTAAATTGTCCTGGAAGTGTCTGGTGACCCTCGGGCTCCCCGTGGGTCGCCAGAATCGTCCAACCCGAGAACAAATGCCAACCAGAAGTGCGCCGCAAGGGGGGGACGGAGCAGCCCGAGAAAAACGAGCTCACTCTGACAGCCCAGCGGGTAGCCAGAAGTGGAAAATAGAAGAGCCCCACCGATGATGACATATTATTGGAAGCGCTTGAAGAGGATCAGAATCACTGTTCCGATGATGACATTCAAGATAAGCCGACGCGACATCGCACCATGCAGGAGGCTGCTGGAGGCCTCGCTGTCCTCTCAAAGTTCTGATAAGTTCTCGCGAGAGCGAGCGTGCACATACTCACTCACCATCACATTGGGTTGAAAAATATTGTTCTAGCACTAATTCCGATGATGAGGCAGACAAAGTTGATTGATTGATATGTTGGGTTTAACGTCTCAAAACCACCATATGATTATGAGAGACGCCGTAGTAAAGGGCTCCAGCACACGGGCCTACAGCATTTTCGCCTCCATCGGAAATGCAGCTGCCACAGCCAGGATTCAATCCCGTGACCTGCGGTGCAGCAGCCTAGTACCTTATTTCCTAGACTACCGCGGCGGGGCAAGGAAGACAAAGTTAATGCAGTTTTTCATGAAATAAAGGTTTGTCTGTGCCGAGTACATTTTTATCTTGTTTTGAAGGTTCATTCGATAATCCGGAATTCGGTGAACTCTGACATTTTCACCATTCCCGTGAGATCGGGTCAACGAGATTTTCATGTACAGGCTCACAGGAATGTCACTTTTTGCTTGTTTTTTTCAGGGAAAACACATACCTGGAAACAATGTTGGTGCTGTGCATGTCATTCACAAGCGAAAGTATCGGTGAGTGTTGTCAAGTTTTCTTTTCAGAAACAATTATGTTATTTTTTTTGACATTCTCTTTCTTTTGCCGCTATGTCTTCCAGCCAGTACATGAATCGGAAAGGAGGATTCAACCGCCCACTCGACTTCGTTGCATAAAATCCTCTTCTACTGTGGTCATCCAGTCTTTTCCTCGATTTTTTCTTTCTAGAAGTTTCAATAATAAAAGTGCTTGTCGGTGTTCACAGTGATTTTGTTAGCAAATACTGGAGTACTTTGTACGTTCCTGTTTTGTGTGCTTTCCCGGTCCTACATCCGTGATTGCGAACACGCACACACACACACACAGAATAGCACTATACAGTTGTGCGTCTTTTCAACCTCTCTGGTTAACACGATTATTTGGCACCAATGTTTGGTTTATCGTATGGTATGCTTGCGGTCGCCAGATCACATGGGCAACAAAGAAGCTGCGAAGCGCGTGTGATCAAAAGTTAACCACCCACTGTGGCACCTTTCCCGCACCACTCGCTCACCCGTGTCGTGAGAAATCGCTGCCTTTCGTCGCAAAAGAATTTCCTTCACCGCGCTGGCCGTTATGGATAACGCATTCACATCTGTTGCTGCCAACCCAATTGCAATACGTGCCATTTTGACTGCATGCGTGTGGTAAATCGGAGATAACTGAAATTCACTAGCGTTTTTTCTCCCATCTGTACATGAGGGTTCTGAGGGAATCGCTTATGTAAGAGGAAAACACCTAAAAGTATTTCTTATGGAGGGATTCGGACCTTGAATGTCAAAATAGTAAGAGCGGGCTGGTAATCTTAAGTTATGAAATTTTCTCGGCAAAACTGAGACCGAAGATCGAAAAGTGCAACTGCCATACTTTTTCAAGAAATCCAGAAATAATGAGATTCGTGACATGAAATCAACATATTTGCGCAGCGCAAGACTACGAACAGTTACGGCGTATCTACAGAAGAACAATCCGTTGGCTTCACATCGTCGGTGCGTGATAGGTTGGGCGTGCAATTATAGCATGCATGGCGCATGTACATTTCGACTGAAGTGACACTGGTGCAATCTGCCTTTTTCACGATGCCGTGGCGCATGCGCCCTTCTCTAGCGGGGAAGTCTCAAAACGACTCCTGGTTTCTGAGGCCCTCGTTCCAGCAATGCAGATTCTCCCGGCCCCTACCAAACCCTACCAAAATGCCAGAGGGCAGCACAGGAAAATGGAAAAGGCAGATTGTTGTTGGGCGCAGTGACGTCAGTGTGGTGTTCTGCTAGTTGTGCTTATCAATGCTTTGCTTTTGGTTTCGCCAGTGATTGTGGCCGAATTTCAGTACTTCGCAATAATTACCAGAGGCTGCTTTTTTGAAATCTCAAACCGGCTATGTGCTATTCGCAGGAAGAACCATGAGTATTTCTATTTGGTCCGACTGCTTGTCTTCACTGAATATATAATTACTAACGTAATTTGTCTTATCTCATTGTGTGTCACTGTAAAAGAAGATATAAAGTTAAGTAGCAAATATTTTATTTCCTCTATTTGTGAGGATTTTCGGATGCATTTTTTGTGATTTTTGTGGCGAGAAAGGGGTCTTATCACAAGGTTTAGGAAGACCGCTGGTTAAGTCGTGTCAAATCGAACCAGCCAGCGCATGGAGTCCTGCGACCCCGTACCGCATAGGCTCGCGCTACTTAACGTGCATCTAGTCTAGCCCGGTTTGGCGCAGGTGACCATACATGACATCGGCACATGTGCAATGGTCTTTGCGAATCTGTTACCTCAGGGTGTGGTTCCTTATTGCAGTATTTAGTGCGGGAGTACACAACGTGGACGCATTTTATAGCAGTAGCTCTACTACAGCTACAAACCGAGAAAACTCTCTTTGCTTTGGTAATCTGACCTCCAACTCAGTCAAGGTCGACGCCTTCATAAGCACTCCCCGCAAAAAGATGATGCACTAGTATCTTCATTCATGTTTACAGCACTTATGCCGGTGCGAACAGAAGCAGCTTTGTACCATACAAAATCTCGAGTGATCGGTTCACTAGTGATAAAGGAATGAACTCCGGTCATGTCCAGAGCATAGTGTGCCATAGTCAAGGTACAACAATGATGCTGGTGACAACAACAATGGACAAAGTCTGGTGAAACACCATAGCGTTTTGATATAGAATCCCATATTGATTTTATGATAGGTTTTGTATTTCAGACCTGTACATGACCTTTAGGCATATTTGCAAATTGACGATCAATATTTGTCAAACATGAGTTTATGCACTTGTACTATTATAAACATAGTTATGGATAAATACTAATGGGTTCTGAGATACAGTACTCATCGTAATGAATAAAAAAATAATTTTTTTGTGTTTGTGTGTGAAATCACGATATGATCATAGATGTGCTTGAGATGGGCTCTTAAAAATTCTAATCCGTGGGTTTTTTTACAATACCTCTAACTCCAAGTATACATCTATAGGTGGTATTTTCCCTCCAAGGGAATAAAAGCATTGCGCATTAGATCACACCTGCAAATGGGTGGATGGCCGATCACCATAACCACTGAACCTCCACGGCGGCAAACACTTAAAGTATGGGTAAATTCGCCTGGTTAAAATGTTTGCTGGATAAGTTCATGTGGGCTTGTTTTAAACAACGGACAGTATTTCCTTAGGCCCTTCACTACTGAACTCTTATCTTCCGTCGTCTTGTCCAACCAAGGGGAGTATTGTAAAACAGAGTGCCTCGTTGACAGAGCGAAAGCTTTTTATGACTTTCCTCACACTAGTGGCAAGGTGGCAGACCATGGCGTACACTACCTGGACATACTTCAAATTTAAAAACAGTCCAGCTGTAAAGACTGGAATGCTATGTTTCAGGAATGTGTTTTTGCTTCCGCATTCAGCAAATCCCATCCCGCTTTGGAGTCTGCGAGTTAGTCACATTAGATATGCTATAGATTCCCCGTGCATAGCATGCATGGAGCCCTGGTTCACTCATTCTGTTCTATTCTCAAGCAAAACGTCACCGCAGATGCAGGCGGCCTCAGCAACGCGCGGTCAATATTTAATCGAAACTCTACCGTCTGTACTAGGCGTGTCCGATTAAAAACAATTTTTCGCATACACGCTGAAACTGCCCTACAGAATCTGCGCCTCAAGTTACATCATATTAATGAAAGAAAAGCTGCTACATATATTTATTACGCTGAAGTGTTCTCCGAAAGAATCTGTTTTCCCACATTTGCGCTAGTGAATGCATGCCGCACCTTGATATCGATGACTATGTTATTAGAACTTGCATAAAAAAGTACCTCAAAGAGACATATTGTGCATGCAGCAGTGCAGACACAATCTGCAATCGGAGAACAATCGCCCTTCATATTAATTGCATCATTCATAGGACAGGAGTTCGTGACAGTTTAATTCGGGCGACAGCAACAACGCTGTGTACACAGGCTGCCATTGGACGTTGCCCGCCTCTGCAGATCCACGACTAAGCCGCCATTTGGGCACCTCTTTGAACATGCCAATGAATGAAGCCTCCGCGTTAGCGCTACCCACGTAAGAAGGAAACATGTCTTTAGATGCGCACATTTTTTAAAATTATCATTATCTCGCAATTGAAACACCCTTCATGAGGCAAGCCACAAGACGTAAAGGAGGCGCCGCCACCACTGTCGCGCCGACCTTGTCGCAAAGGCGAGCCCCGGCGCATTGGCAACCCCGCTAGTATTCCCGGCGAGATCGGGCTATAGGTGGCAACATCGTCCCCACGCCAGTGTAGAGAGGCGGTTGGTTGTGCGTATACAAATACACGCAGCGGCACCTCGTTGCATGTGGTCTGAGCTGATTGTCGGTGGATAAAATGCGTTCACCACAGTGTGCTGTTAATATCTACGCTCTTCTCTTCTGAATCGGTGCATGACGCTTCTGCAACGTTGACATTACCCGTGAGTAAAGAGAATCCTTTCATAAGGATGCTCGCCTGGGGTGACTCCCTTCATGCTTTCGCACTAAATCATGCCTCTGCTGTGTTGCTTGTACGTGATTAGCTTGTGTTCCGCTTGATGTGCACTGCTGTAGAGTTTACAAAAAGTACTACAAAAAAGAGAAAAGAAAAGATTGTAGAAAGCCCGCTCATCTGTGCAATTCGTTCAGTACCACCGTTTGCACCATATACGCATATGATTTTTTTTCTCTCGTACCGTTCATCATAAAATATGGCACAGTCGACAGGTCTAGTCAGGAAAGCTGATAGTAGTTGATGGCGCTTGGCAATAACGTGTGTTTACTATGTGTACTCACATGTTCTTGCACCAGTAAAAATCTTGTATAGGAGTTCAACGAAGGCCTAGTTAATGGGACAAACGTGTTTTTGTTTTTTCAGACAAAAATCTACCACTGCCTTCCATCTGCCAGCAACAATGCCACGTAAATGCTGAAAATAATGTGACAAAGATGAAAGTTTCAGTGAAATTATAGGACATTTATATGTAAGGCATGCGGTCTGAATTAATTTTCAACATCTGGGCTCTTTAAAGCGTTCTTAAATCTAAGCACATAGTTGTGCTCGGTAACTCTGTTTTAAGTACAGTACTGAAATCTCACAGTTTATGTGATAGTAATATTCACATAGAAATATAGTAATGTTTATATGTAGTGGCACCACGGCCAGATAAACATAACTAAACTAAGTCTTCTCGTATGATCGATAAACTACAGTGCCGTTGTTGTACACCTACCGACAGCGCGCAAGTGCATGGCCTAGAGTCTGTTTTCTTTTTTTTTGCAAATGAATCGCTATAAAATGCTGCGTTCACACAGCATTCAAAGGGGTACTGACACAAAAGCTTTGGCCTCCCGGGCTGCTGCTGCAATGCGTTGCTGGGGGCCTGTTAGTCATGACAAGACACACCGTTTGCTGTAGCACATGACAGATAAATAATTTCAGGCCCCTCATTATCAAGCAGTTTCGGTTCGAGAGAATTCCAAAAACTGGGTGCAACTGTGGCCACCTAGCGTGAGCAGCTCTTGACTACGTCAGCACACAGAACGGTGACATGCTTCCGCACGATCTGCATGAAAAATTACTTCTGAATAGGAAACGGGACTGGAATGTCGGCAAATTCAAAACTTTCTAAGCGTGCGCCACGGCCACGCACTCGCAACCAGTCGCCTAGAAATATAGACTTCGAGAACTAACACGGCAAAAGAAAAATAACTTGTTTTGTTGACTGCAGCGTGGT